TTACGCCAAAATAAAAAGCATCTTGCAAAAAAGTGTTTTTGTGACAGACAATTACTTAGTTCAACAGTCTGAAGCATAATTATTGTGCAGGGTTGCGTCCCTTTGGCACGCCAGAAACCTATGATTGTGGGTTCGAATCCCGGTTCGCCCCGATTATGTTTCTAGGTTTGTCAGCACCATACCCGTGCTCGTGGGTTTCACCGAAGTGGTAAACGTCTGAGACCTGCATCACTTCGGGCTTTCCTCCCACATTAAGCTGACACGCCGCGATATAACTGGAATACTGTTAAAAGCGGCGCTAAACCCAACTCACTCATTCACTCACTCACTCATGATCAGCCGGGGAGGTCGGGTAGCCTAGTGGTTAAAGCGTTCGCTCGTCACGCTGAAGACGAGAGTTCGATTCCCGATATGGGTTACAATTTGTGAAGCCCATTTCTGGTTTCCCCCGCCGTGATATTGCTGAAATATTGCTAAAAGTGGTGTTTAACCATACTCACTCACTCACCCATGATCAGCCTGTAAACAGACCAGGCAATCAAATCACCGAGGAACCAGAAAACCTGCTACTTTATATTTAGTCACAGTGTAGTAGCGGTGACAAAACATTTCTTATTACCCCCAAGAGGTTTAAAGGTGAGGTGAAATGGGGTTAAACGTCGCGTCTAAGATTATTGCACTTATATAGCGACGTGCATGCACGTGTATACGTGTGGCTGCTTGTACTAGTCCGGACTGATGCCGATTTAAAGTGCTAGCACACTGAGATACCATGCCGCAGTTTAACATGAATACCCCACTCAGACACAGTATACTGACTCCGAGCCGACCTGTCCTTGTTTTAGCCCCTTAATGCCGAGCGCCAGACAGGGTAACAACAAGTACCATCTTTTAACTTCTTTGGGTATGACGCGGCCGGGGATCGAACCCAGGACCTTCCGCTCTACGGGCGGACGCTCTACCATTAGACCACGGAGGCTGTCCCAAGAGGTTTAAGAGGTTACCGTCAATGCCAAAACACCAAACAACTGAATGCGTGTAACATAGTGTATGTACAACGGTGTCAAGCGTACAAATTCCATGTAATAATTTTGGCCTATTCATTTTCAGGGTGTGTTCAAGGCTGTTGAAGGGGGCACGGGTGGCCCATTCGTCTGAGGCGCCGCGATTCGCTGTGCAGAGTTGCGTCCCTTGGGCACGCCAGGAACCTATGATTATGGGTCCGAATCCCGGTTCACCCCGATTATGTTTCTAGGTTTGTCAGCACCATACCCGTGCTCGTGGGTTTCACCGAAGTGGTAAACGTTTGAGACCTGCATCACTTCGGGCTTTCCTTCTACGTTAAGCTGACACGCCGCGATATAGCTGGGATACTGTTAAAAGCGGTGTTAAAAACCAAACTCACTTACTCACTCAAGGCTGTTGAAATGCAACGTAAGTAAAGATTGTTTTAGTTATTTAGTTAAACCTAACTATCGACTACTTCATTTATTACAGTTATCCTAGTCAGCTTCGTTATCAACCGTGGGCAACTCGTGTTATTCCGGGACAAGCCGAATAGCGACTCGTGCCCCTCACGTGGCCATTTTTGCGACCGGGTTCCGTCTTAGCGCAAACGGGCATACCTAAAACAATTGTCAATTCGTTGCGTAATGGTTCACATATATTTCCCCATATATTATATATATTTCAGATGCAATTTAAAGCACATCGGGACGTACGGAATTATACAGTATGATTGAACACATTTAACTGTGTCTTTGGTATAATTTTAGATGCAAGACATATGTCAAATCAAAAATTATGTTTGAGGGATTTTTAACGAAGTACTTGAAATCATACGCGCATTCTGATTGGTTTGTCGTATTTTCGCACATAACATTCATCGATAGGGGGACGAGTCTTCTTGCAGGTTACGGAAAGGGGCGAGTGGTGACGAATTGCTTCGTAATCTCCCCTAAATCGATCATGGAGGCATGGATGTCCCTGCCGTTCAAGGCGGCGTAGTTCGTGCCAGAATCGTACGTTTGATAACGATGTTCGAATCTCAGATTCGACCTGATTTTGACCCTTTTACAGCACCATTGCCGTGCTCGTGGAAGACGTCTACGAGTATAATAATTTTGGTCTTTCTCTCCACATCAAGCTGTCACGCCCCGACATAACTCAATAACCCGTGAGGATCCGGGGTAGAACAGGTCTTTAACAACCCATGCTTGCCGTAAAAGGTGACTATGCTTGTCGTAAGAGGCGACTTACAGGATTGGGTTGTCAGGCTGGCTGACTTGCAGTTGCGTGCATTGATGCTCATGATATCAATCACTGTATTGTCTGATCCAGACTCTATTTACAGACCGCCGTCAGGTATCTGAAATATTGCTGCGTGCGGCGTTAAACAACAAACAAACAAACATGACATTACTAAATGATCTTCAAAGCGACGCTGAACCAAAGTGACCCCCTCGGTTACTTCAGTTGCCTCGCAGATGATAGTAATCTTCATCTCATTTAAAACTTAAATAACCCGATTCCTATTTACAAATCCTGTGCTCTGAGTGAGTGAATGAGTATGGTTTTACGTCGATTTTAGCAATATTCCAGCAATATCACGGCGGGGGACACCAGAAATCGGCTTCACACATTGTACCCATGTCGGGAATTGAACCCGGGTCTTCAGCGGGACGAGCGAACGCTTTAAGCACGAGGCTACCCGACCGCCCCTTCTGTGCTCTGAGAAAACAGTGACACCTGATATCGATGTCAACATGAAGCTACCCAAAGCTAAACCTGAAAACTGATACATATATTAATTTGTTCTCTCTGACTGTTAATATTCAACACTTTTGTTGTGTCGTCATTCCCTGGCATACTCACTCTTCACCACACAGCTCCTACCCCGGGACAGATGGCGTGATCCCTCCCATGCCACAGGACTGCCCCCTCGGCTCGAAGAAACAGGGAATTGTTTCCTAAGTGACCTGCAGCTGACAGCTGATCAGTGCATTGACAGACCCGTGAAGATCCCATGCTTGCCGTAAAAGGCGACTATGCTTGTCGTTAGAGGCGACTAACGGGTGGTCAGGCTCGCTGACTCGGTTGATGCATGTCATCGATCTAAATTTCGTGGATCGATGCTCATGATGTCAATCACTGGATTGTCTGGTTCAGACTCGATTAGTTTACAGACCGCCGTCATATAGCTGGAATATTGCTGAGTGTTGCGTTAAGCAACAAACAAATAGTGCATTGACATGCTTGGTGATGAAAAGTATTATTCTCTCCGTCGAGCCGACCCCAGCCTAGGGGATTAGAAGAAGGCAGCAGGGTGTTTCTTGTATGGTCGTGCATGTTATGTTATTGCTGACTGTCATTTTATCATACACAGCGCAAAACGTGTAACAGTCTCTACCTTGATCCACTATTATTTTGATGTATTAACAGCCACCCATCCACTACAACTAGTGATGAGAACAAGAAACATTATATAAACTTTCAAACGGTTGAGTATCCCCTCCGCATCAAAAGGTAACTTTTGTTACAAAGCAATCTGCATTCTGGGATGAAATAAAATGTTTTACTGAGAAAGGTTTCGACGTTTTATTGGATTTATATAGGCAAAACGTACCGATTGTTGACTTTTCAAACATTGACGGGGGGGGGGGGGGGGGGGGGGAGAGAAAAAGAGGCGGTACGTGACAATGTTATACCCCCATTCCACTAGGGAGAGCCATAGGTTTCCTCATTTGTCGGCTATCTAGGGACACTTGCAATCTAATTACGATCAGATAGAGGCCCTGTTGCGATCCAGAGGCGATCTATGCGATCCGATAGCGACTTGAAGACCCTTGTTCGTAAACAAACAACCCAAAATGTGGCGATCTTGCACGATCAGTTCCCGCTCCTTTTGCGATCCAGGGCGATCAGGATGCGATCCAGTGGCGCTCTATTTGCGCTCCGATGGCGATCATTCCGATCTTATGCGCTCTACTGTGATCCGATATCGATCTAGGCGACCTACAATGTATGGCGATCCATTAGCACTCAATTAGCGCTCTGTGGTATCCCATTGCGCCCCGATCGCCGAATTGTGGGTCCAAACCTATAACAACTCGTAGCGTTCTGAGACGCTCATCAGTTCTGCTCTTGGTAGCAGAGGGGTGGTGAGTCTTTGGTGGCGATCGGCGGCGCTCGAAGGTGGTACGATAGCGCTCTGATTACGACCTTCGATGGGTGATCTCGGCGATCAAGACGGCATTCTGGGCGGAGCGCCAGGGACCTTTGTGCAGGGGGTCGACGGGCGGCGACCTTGACGATCATGGAGATCAGTTAGAGGTCAGATAGCTATCCATTAACGCTTTTGGAGATCTTAACGCTCTATATGGCGATTTGTAAGAGCGCCGTTTAGTGGAATGGGGGTATTAGTGAGCGAGGGGAAAACAAGTTGAATCATTGTTATAGCAAACTGTGAAAGGTGAGCCATACTTTTCCTACTTTGGTTTATGACGAGAGCTTCGAAACTTCCTGAACTGATCCAGGTACATCTAAGGGTCGTAACTCTACACAGTGAAAAAACGCCAGAGACCACTAATTCCCTCTATGTTATATATTGGACATGTAATGTAAATGTATCCAGTGAAAGTCCTTCTTCAAGAAACACACGGGGGCACGGGTGGCCCAGCCGTCTAAGGCGCCGCGATTCGCTGTGCAGAGTTGCGTCCCTTGAACACGCAAGAAACCTATGATCGTGGGTTCGAATCCCGGTTCGCCCCGATTATGTTTCTAGGTTTGTCAGCACCATACCCGTGCTCGTGGGTTTCACCAAAGTGGTAAACGTCTGAGACCTGCATCACTTCGAGCTTTCCTTCCACATTAAGCTGACACGCCGCGATATAACTGGAATACTGTTAAAAGCGGCGTTAAACCCAACTCACTCACTCACTCACTCACTCACTCACTCAAGAAACACACGTTTCCTGTCAAACGTACTATGCAGATAAGAATGCCATGAACAAGACACTTTATTCGTTATAGATTACCAGAAACAGACAAGCGAGAAAGATATATATCATAAACCGAAAATATTCGAGACCCCTGTAGATAATTCGAGCTATCCGTAGTTCGAGATAAGCGCAGTGTCGCTGTCAAATTACAGTGTTGAAAAGGATATTTCCTGGCATTTGAAGGCTGCAGTGCTTTAGACAAGATTCGCCACGGCCAGATCAAAAGGGGAACACACCTTTGGCGTTGAAATGAGAAAGGAAAGTCTCACAAATCCCGTCGTCGCGTCGTTGTCGTGCCGTTGTCGTGCCGTTGTCGTGCCGTTGTCGTGTCGCGTCTACTTCCCTTCTGGTGGTCCTCCGTCTGCGTCCGGGGCTCTGGGCTGGTCGGGATCGTATCTACTCAAGGTGATGTAACGAGCGTTGCCGATGACGCTGCGACAGTACGGCTCTGTGATGATGTGAGTCCACCCAATGCGACAGTACCCAGACCCGTCCACCCACAGGTGACACTGAGGGGGGTAGTCGAGTGGTTGGGCTGCAAGGAAACATTTACCCATCGATAAACCAACGTTGGCATCTGGCGAGATACCTCAGACCACAGATTCCTCCAGATGTTTACCATGACCCGGAAGGAAAATATAGTGCCCTGCTAAAATGGGTTGTTCACACTCTGTGCCAGATTTATTTGAATGATTTGAGTGACAGTTTAAGTGAAAGAGTATATCTTGTATTTCATAAAGAATATTGTTATCCACAAATTATACATAATATTAACTCAAGCTTCCCATGTTAGGAACATCAAGTTGAAGACTGATAGGTGTGTTTTGGTTGCAATCTCATTAAAATCATATCTTAGTTCTCGCTATCGCTGAACAAAGATCTGAGGACATCCAATTACGGATCACGTCAGAAAGACCTTTCATCCAGCCATTCAAAGCCTCGCTTACCAGATCATGAAAGTGACAGTCGGAATGTGTTTTCTAATCATGCAACCTCGAAAACGTTAACACGGGGTATTCCGAACGACAGTACGACTGATTCCGTCAAAATTATCGTCCGTCTCTTGCTTCCGTGGGATAAACATTTGAACGGAGGAGGCGTTGCACAGTTCGTGGGAAGCACTGCCATACAATCTCAATCATATAGTAGACATTACGGAATGTTCGTTTGTTCAGTTTTCAAAATTTTAATCGAGAACTGTGTCAACATATTTTTCAAGCGTAGTCTGAAATGGAAGTCGCCAGGTTGAAACGAGTGCCGTATAGCTCGAGAAAGCTGCTTTCTAATTGGCTGAAGTCGACTTCTTGTTCGTCATTTCAGTGGTCGGTCAAAGTTCGCGAAAGGTCGCTCTGACGTGACCCGTAATGGGATGTCCTCAGATCTTTGTTTAGCGGCAGCGAGAACCTAGATCTGATTTTAATGAGATTGAGACCATTGTTGACAGTAATTGCTGTGAAATCCTGACGGTTTTGCATTTTAAGAGATACATTATAAGGTGTAGCAGGATCACTTCGAAAGCATGGGTTTTTTTGCGTTCCCCGTTAGGTTTTATATCACGAAGCGGAGGCCGAAGGCTCATGGTATAAAAACTAACGAGGGACGAGTAATCCTGCTACAACGAATTTATCTTACAGGCATGTTTCAGTGTGACACTAATTCAAACAAATTCAAAATTGATAGAAAAAAGCTGTTCGACTTAGCTTGGGTTAGCGTGTTCTGTGATACGTGACTCCAGTGACTCTGAAAAAGCGTACGGTTTTATCCTTTGAAGCGGGGTACAAAGAATTTATTCTGCCTCTCAGAAATCCACGTGCAGCTTGATATGCTCGTGGCGGGGTATAAGCGATTTATTCACCCGCTGAGAAATTTATTCCCCTTCAAGGCGGGATACGCAGTATTTTATCAAGGTCACATGGGCCAATCAGATCTCATCATTCTGACATGGAAGTATGATAAGGCATTTTAGTCAGCATGCAACAGACGAACTACGACATTATTTATCGCGGCTGTCATCACATTGTACAGAGCAAAGAACGAAAACTACAAACATAGTCTTAGAATAGATAATTTATGTAAACTGACGTCCAAAAGAAACTTTACCAGAGTTTGAAATCACTCTTGCTCAAAGACAACAAAACATACATGCATGAAGTAAAGAGTATTGAGAAGATCAATATATCAACATAATCAACACTGAAAATGACAATCATACCGTGACCGAGAATGACGTCAAAGCCCAAAGTTGGGTGTGGTACAAAACTCGGGCTTTCAGAATCATGGACAATAGGCAGAGTACATAAACAATCGCTCACGTTCAATAACAAGTCATTAGTAGCGTGTGTGACCACCAAATGCCTCAATACACGCAAAAACTCTTCGACGCACAGAAAAAGTCAGTCGTCTGATGAGGTCACGTGGGATTTGACGCCATTCTTCTTGGAGGGCCAAGATCAGTTCTTGCCGGTTGGCTGGAGAGTGTGGTCGTTGTCGAACACGACGATCCATCAAGTCCCAGAGGTGTTCTATGGGGGACATGTCGGGTGAGCGTGCAGGCCACGGCAGGACGTTGACGTTGTTGCCTGCGAGGAAGTTAGTGACAATTCTGGCTGTATGGGCTCTAGCGTTGTCATGCTGATAAATGGCACCACGTGGCTGCTGTTGGAGGTATGGTAGGACAACTGGACGAAGAATGTTATCCATGTACCGCTGAACTGTCAAGTTTCCGTCAACGATGACCAGCGGTATCCTCTCCTGCCTACAGATCCCTCCTCACACCATGACACTCCCTCCACCATATGGTACGACCTCCTGCACGCAACACGTCGCCGTTCGTTCACCCCTTCGGCGGTAAACACGTTGTCTTCCATCAGCCCTAATCATACAGAATCGACTTTCGTCAGTGAAGACAACCCTCTGCCAGTCACGTCGTTGCCAACGTCGTACAGTCCGGGCCCATCTCAATCGCAGGCGACGATGTTGCGCTGTCAATAGCTGTCCTCTGTATGGTCTAAAAGCCCTGATTCCATGAGCCCTGAGTCTCCTGGCCACTGTCTGTCGACTAACCCTCTGACCTAAGGCAGTTATCGCCGATGACGTCACTGTCAGGAGCGATTTCGGAGGTGCAAGGTACGCAAGTACCGGTCATCATGGGGCGTGGTCACCCTGGGTCTGCCTGTTCTTGGCCTGTCAGCGGTAAGCCCTGTCTGTCTGTAACGTTGCATCAAGTTGGTAACGGCAACACGGGAGCAACCGAAGGTTCGTGCAATATGCATATGGGCGTGGGTGGCTCCCATCTGTACCATACCCAAGGCTCGTTCACGTTGTTCGACTGTGAGTCGTGGCATTTCTTTTGTGTTTTTTTATCACTGTGGATGTCTGACTTGCCATTGCAATCGTTTTATACCCTTACCCGCACGTGTATTTGCAGTTGTCCGGGGTGCACGTGTTTTTCACTTTTTCGCGTGTTATCTCGCAAACATGTAACAGACGATTAACATTTTCTGCATACACTATTGTTGTATTTAGGTTATGTGTTTTAGATAGACTTCATCGAAAACAAATTTATACTTTGTCTGAAATTTATATTTTCAGTTGGTAAAGTTTCTTTTGGACGTCAGTTTACATATACATACAGATGCCTAAACGATCTACGTGGTTCGTGGTTCCGTCTACTACAGACGTATGTCCACTTCTGATTGTAAACCTGTGGCGAACTAGTGAGTGTGTGAGTGGGTTTGATTTTACGCCGCTTTCAGCCATATTCCATGCCAGTATTAACACGACGGAGGACACCAGAAATGGGCTTCACACATTGTACCTATATGTCGGGTCTTCGGCGTGACGAGCGAAGGCTTTAACCACCAGGCTACCCGACCGCCCCTATGACGAACTAAGAGTCACAATGAGTGAGTGAGTGAGTTGGGTTTAACGCTGCTTTTAACAGTATTCCAGTTGTATCGCGGCGCGTCAGCTTAATGTGAGAGGAAAGCCCGAAGTGATGCAGGTCTCAGACGTTTACCACTTCGGTGAAACCCACGAGCACGGGTATGGTGCTGACAAACCTAGAAACATAATCGGGGCGAACCGGGATTCAAACCCACAATCATAGGTTTCTGGCGTGTCCAAGGGAACTAAGAGTCACAACATCTCGATATCCGAAACGATGCAAACTGTGTGGTGAAACATACAGTCACTTAATTTTAAACAGTTATGTAACAGGACTGCACGTTTCATTTTATACATGCCATTGGTAAAAGCGTGTTTTAAGCATTTTTTTAAGAATGCAACCTCGAGAATACTTACTGAACCCGTTAGACCCCGAACGCCCTGATGGCCCACTTGGTGGAAGACGACAATCTGAATGAAAGAAAATAACAAGCTTTACAAGACCCCTGTATTAATAAAAGTGTCTGTCGCTGCAATCATGTTACGGTGGAATGTAAGTAATCGCGCGTGGGACAGTAAACAAATGGTTAGTGCCGTCAGCCGTCCCGACGTCGGACACGATAACGGACCAGTTTACACATTGTTTTGACCCGATCCTGGGGACGCTTTCTTATCTTATGGATACAGCGTCTGCCCCGAGACGTTATGAAACCAGGTGTTCGCGAAAGGTGAGCGTATCCTCCCCCATCGGTGGTACCCGTCGCATACACATGCAAAGGCAAGTCAATTGTTCACTTGATTGATTGATTGGTTTGTCGTTTTACACCGCGCTCGGCAATATTCCAGCTAAATGACGTAGGTGTGTAAATATTCGAATCTGGACCACACAATCCAGTGATTGATACCATGAGGATCGATCCACGCCTTTGGGATCGATGACATGCATCTACCAAGATAGCGAGCCTGACTACCCGATCCCGTTGTCGCCTTTCACGGCAAGCATGGGTTGCTGAAGACCTGTTCTAGCCCGGGTCTCCACGGGTCTGTACACTTGAAAGAACACGGGAACATATATGGTACATGTCTATATAGAGAGTTGCATCAGACATCCTTTTGTCACAATTAGTGCCCCTGGTCATACCTACTTCTTGCCTTAAGGTAACATAGACATAGATGGGACATAGATGACAGCTAGCTGGGACAGAATTGGTTTATTCCAATTCTATTCCCTCTTTTTCAGTTCGTGCATTCTACTAATGACTTAACTCACTGACTTAACTCACCCTGAAAGACAGTCAACAGCTTTCTCTTTTCTTTTGGCCCATTCTGTTGCAAATGCATCTCCCATTATGATTATTAATTTTAATGATTCAAAATGGTAAGAAGCATACCGCAATGATCTATTTGTTAAATGTTGACAAGCATAGTCGCCCCTTGCGCAAGCATAGGTTGTTGAAGAACTATTTCCTTCCCGAATCTTCACATGCAGGTCAATACCACAATGACACGAATATTCCAAATGCAAATATGAAACACTCACCGACGTTCAAAAGACGAGGAAGAAGATCGTTACCTGGAAACAAACAATTCGGCTTAGAACCTATCTCCATAAATATCGATGTATACATAAACAGAGATGTATACATAAACAGAGATGTGTACATAAACATAGATGTGTACATAAACAGAGATGTATACATAAAAAGAGACGTGTACATAAACAGAGATGTGTACATAAACAGACGTATATATAAACAGAGACGTGTACATAAACAGAGATGTGTACATAAACAGAGATGTATACATAAACAGAGATGTATACATAAACAGAGATGTGTACATAAAGAGAGATGTATACATAAACAGAGATGTAAACATAAACAGAGATGTATACATAAACAGACGTATACATAAACAGACGTATACATAAACAGAGATGTGTACATAAACAGAGACGTGTACATAAACAGAGATGTGTACATAAACAGACATGTAAACATAAACAGAGATGTATACATAAACAAAGATGTGTACATAAACAGAGATGTATACATAAACAGAGATGTATACATAAACAGAGATGTAAACATAAACAGAGATGTATACATAAACAGAGATGTAAACATAAACAGAGACGTGTACATAAACAGAGACGTATACATAAACAGAGATGTATACATAAACAGAGATGTATACATAAACAGAGATGTATACATAAACAGAGATGTATACATAAACAGAGATGTGTACATAAACAGAGATTTGTTCATAAACAGAGACGTATACATAAACAGAGATGTATACATAAACAGAGATGTATACATAAACAGAGATGTATACATGAACAGAGACGCATGGATATGTGCGCAATCGTCTCAACGTTGAAAAAGTTTGAGTTTTTAGCTGAACGCTTATATAAGTAGTGTATATTTCCTGAAGTTTCATCGTTGACTAATAATAATGCCAGTATGAACAGAGTTGCTTACATCACAACATCTTTATTGTTTATCAATTCCGATGATAACAGGATGAGGGAGGATTATTAATAGTTTCAGAGTTCTGATGTTTACTCAATGAGAATAATTTATGACATGGAGTTTGATCGTTCAACAATTCTAAAGTTTAATTAAATCACCCTGACCAGGTTCCCTCGGTACACTGTTAATATATGTTTGTAGCTATTTATAGCTCAGAAAAAAACCTCTTACCGGTACCATATTGTCTCCGTCTCGCATCCGGGTTCCTCTGTCCCTTCACCATCACCTACGTTTAAATATATGAGTATTAACAATAGAAGACATCTTCAATCAAATACGGGGCGGTCGGGTAGCCTAGTGGTTAAAGCGTTCGCCCGTCACGCCGAAGACCCAGGTTCAATTCCCGACATGGGTAAAATGTGTGAAGCCCATTTCTGGTGTCCCCCGCCGTGATATTGCTGGAATATTGCTAAAAGCGGCGTAAAACCATACTCACTCACTTCAATCAAATACGTGTAGTGCTGGCTGTACAATGTACTTGTGTTATTTTTATCGTTGAACAAAGGCCCTTTGGTCATTCTATACAAATGTACAGTCCAAATTGCATTTTCATCTACCTTGGAGTTTAAACACCTGCATGAAGATGTGAGTGAGCGTGGTTTTACGCCGTTATTAGCAACATTACAGACATATCACAGCGTGGGGAACCCAGCAACGGCTTTACTCAACCCGCCTTCACGTAATCCAGGGTTCAACAGAACCCGCGTGTTTCAACAACCCGCCACTTCACGCAATCCGGGAGTCCATATAACCCGCGTCTTAGCGCAATCTTGGACACCGCATAACTCCTGTCTTCACACAACCCGCGTCTTCACACAACCCGGGACTCCACATAACCCCTGTCTTCACACAATACGGGACTCCAGATAACCCCTGTCTTCACATAACCTTCGTCTTCACACAATCAGGGACACCACATAACCTTCGTGTTCACATAACGTTCGTCTTCACATAACTTTTGTCTTCACATAACCCCTGTCTTCACACAACCCGTATCTTCACACAATCCGGGACTCCACATAACCCCTGTCTTCACACAACCCGCGTCTTCACACAATCCGAGACACCACATACACTTCGCCTTCACACAATCCGAGACACCACATAACCTTCGCCTTCACACAATCCGGGACACCACATAACCTGCGTCTTCACACAATCCGGGACACCACATAACCTTCGCCTTCGCAACATCCGGGACACCACATAACCTTCGCCTTCACACAATCCGAGACACCACATAACCTTCGTCTTCACACAATCCGGGACACCACATAACCTTCGCCTTCACACAATCCGGGACACCACATAACCCCTGTCTTCACACAATACGGGACTCCAGATAACCCCTGTCTTCACACAATCCGGGACACCACATAACCTGCGTCTTCACACAATCCGGGACACCACATAACCTTCGCCTTCACACAATCCGAGACACCACATAACCCCTGTCTTCACACAATACGGGACTCCAGATAACCCCTGTCTTTACACAATCCGGGACACCACATAACCTTCGCCTTCACACAATCCGGGACACCACATAACCTTCGCCTTCACACAATCCGGGACACCACATAACCCCTGTCTTCACACAATACGGGACTCCAGATAACCCCTGTCTTCACACAATCCGGGACACCACATAACCCCTGTCTTCACACAATACGGGACTCCAGATAACCCCTGTCTTCACACAATCCGGGACACCACATAACCTGCGTCTTCACACAATCCGGGACACCACATAACCTTCGCCTTCACACAATCCGGGACACCACATAACCTTCGCCTTCACACAATCCGGGACACCACATAACCTGCGTCTTCACACAATCCGGGACACCACATAACCTTCGCCTTCACACAATCCGGGACACCACATAACCTTCGCCTTCACACAATCCGAGACACCACATAACCTGCGTCTTCACACAATTCTAGACACCACATAACCCCTGTCTTCACACAATACGGGACTCCAGATAACCCCTGTCTTCACACAATCCGGGACACCACATAACCTTCGCCTTCGCAACATCCGGGACACCACATAACCTTCGCCTTCACACAATCCGAGACACCACATAACCTTCGTCTTCACACAATCCGGGACACCACATAACCTTCGCCTTCACACAATCCGGGACACCACATAACCCCTGTCTTCACACAATACGGGACTCCAGATAACCCCTGTCTTCACACAATCCGGGACACCACATAACCTGCGTCTTCACACAATCCGGGACACCACATAACCTTCGCCTTCACACAATCCGAGACACCACATAACCCCTGTCTTCACACAATACGGGACTCCAGATAACCCCTGTCTTTACACAATCCGGGACACCACATAACCTTCGCCTTCACACAATCCGGGACACCACATAACCTTCGCCTTCACACAATCCGGGACACCACATAACCCCTGTCTTCACACAATACGGGACTCCAGATAACCCCTGTCTTCACACAATCCGGGACACCACATAACCCCTGTCTTCACACAATACGGGACTCCAGATAACCCCTGTCTTCACACAATCCGGGACACCACATAACCTGCGTCTTCACACAATCCGGGACACCACATAACCTTCGCCTTCACACAATCCGGGACACCACATAACCTTCGCCTTCACACAATCCGGGACACCACATAACCTGCGTCTTCACACAATCCGGGACACCACATAACCTTCGCCTTCACACAATCCGGGACACCACATAACCTTCGCCTTCACACAATCCGAGACACCACATAACCTGCGTCTTCACACAATTCTAGACACCACATAACCCCTGTCTTCACACAATACGGGACTCCAGATAACCCCTGTCTTCACACAATCCGGGACACCACATAACCTTCGCCTTCACACAATCCGGGACACCACATAACCTGCGTCTTCACACAATCCGAGACACCACATAACCCCTGTCTTCACACAATACGGGACTCCAGATAACCCCTGTCTTCACATAACCTTCGTCTTCACACAATCAGGGACACCACATAACCTTCGTGTTCACATAACGTTCGTCTTCACATAACTTTTGTCTTCACATAACCCCTGTCTTCACACAACCCGTATCTTCACACAATCCGGGACTCCACATAACCCCTGTCTTCACACAACCCGCGTCTTCACACAATCCGAGACACCACATACACTTCGCCTTCACACAATCCGAGACACCACATAACCTTCGCCTTCACACAATCCGGGACACCACATAACCTGCGTCTTCACACAATCCGGGACACCACATAACCTTCGCCTTCGCAACATCCGGGACACCACATAACCTTCGCCTTCACACAATCCGAGACACCACATAACCTTCGTCTTCACACAATCCGGGACACCACATAACCTTCGCCTTCACACAATCCGGGACACCACATAACCCCTGTCTTCACACAATACGGGACTCCAGATAACCCCTGTCTTCACACAATCCGGGACACCACATAACCTGCGTCTTCACACAATCCGGGACACCACATAACCTTCGCCTTCACACAATCCGAGACACCACATAACCCCTGTCTTCACACAATACGGGACTCCAGATAACCCCTGTCTTCACACAATCCGGGACACCACATAACCTTCGCCTTCACACAATCCGGGACACCACATAACCTTCGCCTTCACACAATCCGAGACACCACATAACCCCTGTCTTCACACAATACGGGACTCCAGATAACCCCTGTCTTCACACAATCCGGGACACCACATAACCCCTGTCTTCACACAATACGGGACTCCAGATAACCCCTGTCTTCACACAATCCGGGACACCACATAACCTGCGTCTTCACACAATCCGGGACACCACATAACCTTCGCCTTCACACAATCCGGGACACCACATAACCTTCGCCTTCACACAATCCGGGACACCACATAACCTGCGTCTTCACACAATCCGGGACACCACATAACCTTCGCCTTCACACAATCCGGGACACCACATAACCTTCGCCTTCACACAATCCGAGACACCACATAACCTGCGTCTTCACACAATTCTAGACACCACATAACCCCTGTCTTCACACAATACGGGACTCCAGATAACCCCTGTCTTCACACAATCCGGGACACCACATAACCTTCGCCTTCACACAATCCGGGACACCACATAACCTGCGTCTTCACACAATCCGAGACACCACATAACCCCTGTCTTCACACAATACGGGACTCCAGATAACCCCTGTCTTCACATAACCTTCGTCTTCACACAATCAGGGACACCACATAACCTTCGTGTTCACATAACGTTCGTCTTCACATAACTTTTGTCTTCACATAACCCCTGTCTTCACACAACCCGTATCTTCACACAATCCGGGACTCCACATAACCCCTGTCTTCACACAACCCGCGTCTTCACACAATCCGAGACACCACATACACTTCGCCTTCACACAATCCGAGACACCACATAACCTTCGCCTTCACACAATCCGGGACACCACATAACCTGCGTCTTCACACAATCCGGGACACCACATAACCTTTGCCTTCGCAACATCCGGGACACCACATAACCTTCGCCTTCACACAATCCGAGACACCACATAACCTTCGTCTTCACACAATCCGGGACACCACATAACCTTCGCCTTCACACATTCCGGGACACCACATAACCCCTGTCTTCACACAATACGGGACTCCAGATAACCCCTGTCTTCACACAATCCGGGACACCACATAACCTGCGTCTTCACACAATCCGGGACACCACATAACCTTCGCCTTCACACAATCCGAGACACCACATAACCCCTGTCTTCACACAATCCGGGACTCCAGATAACCCCTGTCTTTACACAATCCGGGACACCACATAACCTTCGCCTTCACACAATCCGGGACACCACATAACCTTCGCCTTCACACAATTGGGGACACCACATAACCCCTGTCTTCACACAATACGGGACTCCAGATAACCCCTGTCTTCACACAATCCGGGACACCACATAACCCCTGTCTTCACACAATACGGGACTCCAGATAACCCCTGTCTTCACACAATCCGGGACACCACATAACCTGCGTCTTCACACAATCCGGGACACCACATAACCTTCGCCTTCACACAATCCGGGACACCACATAACCTTCGCCTTCACACAATCCGGGACACCACATAACCTGCGTCTTCACACAATCCGGGACACCACATAACCTTCGCCTTCACACAATCCGGGACACCACATAACCTTCGCCTTCACACAATCCGAGACACCACATAACCTGCGTCTTCACACAATTCTAAACACCACATAACCCCTGTCTTCACACAATACGGGACTCCAGATAACCCCTGTCTTCACACAATCCGGGACACCACATAACCTTCGCCTTCACACAATCCGGGACACCACATAACCTGCGTCTTCACACAATCCGAGACACCACATAACCCCTGTCTTCACACAATACGGGACTCCAGATAACCCCTGTCTTCACACAATCCGGGACACCACATAACCTTCGCCTTCACACAATCCGGGACACCACATAACCTTCGTCTTCACACAACTCGCGTCTTCACACAATCCGGGACACCACATAACCTTCGTCTTCACACAACTCGCGTCTTCACACAGCTCGGGACTCCAAATAACCCCTGTCTTGACACAACTCGCGATTTCACGGAATTCGGGACTCCACACAACTCTCGTCTTTACACAATCCACCGCTCCACATACCCCTTGTCTTCACACAGCCTAGGGCATTACGCAATTCGGGACTCCACATAACCCGCGTTTCACCCAACCCTCGACTTCAGCGCGATGAGCTAACGCTTCATCCACGAGGGTATACGTTCCCCCAGCTCCCCAACACAAGGAAATGAATAAGAATAACGCCCCTTTTCCCTCGACTGATTCATATGTTGCACGATAGTGAATTCAAAAAGTCACTGCCGGAGAACAATAAGTCTCAAATATCTGCCGAAAAAGATTTCATATGAATTGCTTCATATGCATTTATTAGAAGTTGGCGGATGACAAAGCAGACCATTTATTGATAACAACTTCTTTATCTCAATGTACTGGCGACTTTTTGGTATAGATCCTTATAGTGTTGCTATGATCCTGATGCTTGACAACGGTATAAGGATCTATACCGAAGCGTCGCCATTACAGATTTAATATGATATAATTGGCAAAAGAGTGAGTGAGTGAGTTGGGTTTAACGCCGCTTTTAACAGTTTCCAGTGATATCGCCGCGTGACAGCTTAATGTGGGAGGAAAGCCCGAAGTGATGCAGGTCTCTGACGTTTACCACTTCGGCGAAACCCACGAGCACGGGTATGGTGCTGACAAACCAAGAAACATAATCGGGGCGAACCGGGATTCGAACCCACAATCATAGGTTTCTGGCGTGCCCAAGGGACGAAAACTCTGCACAGCGAATCGCGGCGCCTTAGACGACTGGGCCACCCATGCCCCCATGGGCAAAAGAGTGATGAAAATGTTATAAATGGATCACTGACAAACAGTGGTGTTCGCCAAAAGGGTAAGCACGTGCTGCTAAACTGCTAGCCCACAATTTACATTAAGAAAGTGAGTAATAGGTGAATAATTTGGGAATAATTAGTTAGCATATTAAAATGATGACATAAACTATGTACAAAGATGGACTAATACTCACACTGTATGTTAAAACAAGGCACAGAAGACAGACGACTGTTTTCGCCATGTTGAATATCTGAATGCTTCTTGACAATGCGCCCTGAATACATCTGCCGTCCACATCCGTAATGTGTCAGATTTCAATTTATTACAACATTTATAAATAAACTGTGTAACACTTAGAACATCATCCGGCCGGATATAACACACAATTACGCAAAGGGAGTCAGTCATACACGCTGTGTTCGCCCCGATTATGTTTCTAGGTTTGTCAGCACCATACCCATGCTCGTGGGTTTCACCGAAGTGGTAAACGTCTGAGACCTGCATCACTTCGGGCTTTCCGCCCACATTAAGCTGACACGCCGCGATATGACTTGAATACTGTTAAAAGCGGCGATAAACCCAATTCACTCACTCACTCGAGCATCGATCCATGCAGTTGGGAAACGATGACATGCATGTCAGCAAACATGACCACCCAATACCGTTAGTCGCCTCTTACGGCTAGCATGGGTTGCTGAAGACCTCTGCTGACTCGGATCTTTACGGGTCCTATGTTTAAGTGTACAAAAGAACACCATTTACCTACATACTATGCTTAAAAAAAAAAGCAACATCATTTACCTATATGGATACGTATGTATGACTGTTTCATTGTACACCACCACCATACTGCATATTTATGTTATAATATTGAGAACAATTACTACATACACTTGTTGTGTATAAACGTATTGTGAAGGTAGGGTGATGGGTTTGGGGGTTATAAAAAATTACATTCGTTGTCTAGAAACATGATCACCGAACAGGTTCACCCAGCTGATTCTGTAAATAAGGTGAGGTGAAATTGGGTTTAACGTCGCGTCCAAGATTATTGCACTTATACAGCGACGTGCATGCACGTGTGTGTGTGTGGCAGCTTGTACTAGACCGATGCCGATTTAAAGTGCTAGCACACTGAGTTACCATGACGCATGAATACCCCACTCAGACACAGTATACTGACTCCGAGCCGACCAGTCCTTGTTTAGGCCCTTAATGTCGAGCGCCAGACAGGGTAACAACAAGTATCATCTTTTAACGTCTTGAGGTATGATGGGGGATCGAACCCCGGACCTTCCGCTCTCCGGGCGGACGCTCTACCATTAGACCACGGAGGCGGTCCTGTAAATAAGGGCGAATGGATTGTGCCTGGTGACCAGGGGCATCGATCCCTTCGTTAACAGTGTTACGCCTCCCTAACGGTAATATCCCGAGCAGTATGAGATACTGGCATCTGTGCTCAACAAGGTGAGGTGAAATTGGGTTTAACGTCTTGTCAAAGATTATTTATAGTGCTAATTTATAGTGCTAGCACACTGAGATACCATGCCGCAGTTTAACATGAATACCCCACACAGACACAGTATACTGACTCCGAGCCGACCAGTCTTTGCTTTAGCCCTTTAATGCCGGGCGCCAGACAGGATAACAAGAAGTACCATATTTTAACGTCTTTTGGTATGACGCGGCCGGGGATCGATCGAACCCCAGACCTTCCGCTCTCCGGGCGGACGCTCTACCACTAGACCACGGAGGCGGTCATCCTAATGCTCAACAACAACGCGGTTTTGTTACGAGGTGATTTCCAGAAAAACCCAGAAATCGATTTGCACAGAAATAAATTGTGAAATCTGTAAATAACTACACAAGATCAATGAATAATCAATCAATTCTTTTCAAACACACAGGTTTAGGTTTACAGGGGATGTCGAGTGAGTGAATGTTGTTCCAGCTTTTTAAACCTATTCATTGGGATCGCCATTAAGTAAGAGACTTCTTTCTATAGGCATTAAAACCTATTGTGAGGTTTTACTTTCCAGTCGGGTTAAATCTCATAAACAGGGTCGTTGTAATGTCCCTGGGATTTTATATAATATCCCTGGGATTTAATAGGATATTCAAGTCATATTTGCTATAATATCCCAGGGATTTTATATAATGTCCTGGGTATTTTATTAATGTAACTTCCGTTCACATTGTAACACGTAATGAAATGTAATATCAAATGACAAATGTTTTCTTTATATTCCCGAGGATCGAACTCGCAACCTTCATATCTGTAGCCCAGTGAGTGTACCACGAGGCTACAGAGGTGTCGATAAGCCAAACTTCGCCCCCTTGGTTTTTCCCTCTCCCCAGGGCATGCTCTGTCTACCAAAACCTCGTAAGCGTGTTTTCTCCAATACATATCACGATGAACTGTAATTATACAAGGCCAGTAGGATATTCCTCGGGGAAATTTCTACCCGGAATCCCCATGGGGTAGTTTAATACGGGCGGTGGGGTAGCTTGATGGTTAATCTGTTCGCTCGTCACGCATTTACATCCTTGGCTAAATTCTTTAAGCACTTTTAGAGCGTCCTAAGTGGTCATAATCTTAAAATTGTGTTACAGCGGTGTTAAACCGAACCCACTCATTTTATATTCATTTGCTAGTGAGTTTTACCCATTTTGGGATTCGAACCTGGGTCTTCGGCGAGACGAGCGAACGCTTTTACCACTAGGATACCCCACCGTCCAACTGATTTGATAAGAAAGGTTTTGAAACGTGAAACACTCCCTTGTAATCAAATCCTATAGATCATAGCAACTTTCTTTTCTCGACGGTTGGTTGGATGGTTTCTTGTTTAACGCCGCACTCAGCAATATTCCAGCTATATGACGGCGGTCTGTAAATAATCGAGTCTGGATCAGACAACCCAGTGATTGACATCATGAGCATCGATCCATTGCAATTGGGATCGATGACATGCTTCAACCAAGTCAGCGAGCCTGACCACCCGATCCCGCTAGTCGCCCCTTACGACAAGCATAGCCGCCTTTTACGGCAAGCATGGGTTGCTGAAGACCTGTTCTAACCCGGACGGGGTTTTCTCAGTGTAATGGACCTTTGTTTCATGATATCTCACTGGTTTGCCTGATTGTGTCACAATGATTTACAAGACCCCATGATAAAGTGAGATTACTGCTGTTGACTGCAGCCTTTAACAATATTCAGTCACTTATCATTCGTGACCAACTCGTGTTATTCCGGGACAAGCTGAATAGCGACTCGTGCCCCTCTCGTAGCCATTTTTGCGACCGGGTTCCGTCTTAGCGCAAACGGGCATACCTAAAACAATTGTCAACTCGTTGCGCAATGGTTCACACATTTGCCCCATATATTATATATATTTCAGATGCAGTTAAAAGCACATCGGGACGTGCGGAATTATACAGTATGATTGAACACATTTAACTGTGTCTTTGGTATATTTTTAGATGCAAGACATATGTAAAATCAAAAAAATTATTTCTGAGGGATTCTTTGACGAAGAACTTGAAATCATACGCGCATTCTGATTGGTTTGTCGTATTTTCGCACATAACATTCATCGATAGGGGGACGAGTCTTCTTGCAGGTTACGGAAAGGGGCGAGTGGTGACGAATGTCACTTCATCAGTGACGGTTCATGACATTATATTGTGGTGTTTTGTTTGGGTATTTTCTCTTCCAATGTTTTCTCTACGTTTTACACAGATCAAGACCCACCAGAAGATCCGGGTTAGAATTGGTCTTCAGTAGCGACAGCCCATGCTTGTCGTAAGTAAGAAGCAGCTAACGGCATTGGCGGTTAGGCGCGTTGGCTCGTATCCCCATTGCTTAGATCGATGCTCATGAAATCAATCACTGGATTGCCGAGTGCGGCGGTAAAAAACAAACACTGATTTTGTCTAATGTATGTGCTTTGTAGACATGTGACAGTTCATTGGTGCTGCTTACAACGTTTTCTTGCGATCTTGTAAAGAGCGTAAACCTACTTTCGCCAATTGCAGATTTCCAGACACTATTCAAAGAGTTTTCAAAACGCCAAAATCCTATGAAAGTGAACTCGAACGAAGATCCGCATTGTTTATGATTCTGTCTGTTGATGATGTCGGATTTGTTTGGCTTGTTTGTTGTTTAGCGCCGCACTCAGCAATATAACACGGCGATCTGTAAATAATCGAGTCTGGACCAGGCAATCCAGTAATTGACATCATGAGCATCGATCCACGCAATTGGGATCGATGACATGCATCAACCAAGTCAGCAAGTCTGACCACCCGATCCCGTTAGTCGCCTTTTACGACAAGCATTTGTTGAAAACCTATTCTACCCCGTATCTTCACGGGTACTTCACGCGATGTACCCATGTGGGCTATCTCTATAATAATACACGTGAAAAAAGATTCGAATTTTACCAGAGAATAGTTGATATCAATTAGTGTATTACTCCAACTTTTACGGGGATATTTATATTATCTTTCCATGAGACACAAAATTGATTCGGGGGACACGGGTGGCCTAGTCGTCTAAGGCGCCGCGATTCGCTGTGCAGAGTTTCGTCCCTCGGGCACGCCAGAAACCTATGATTGTGGGTTCGAATCCCGGTTCGCCCCGATTATGTTTCTAGGTTTGTCAGCACCATACCCGTGATCGTGGGTTTCACCGAAGTTGTAAACATCTGAGACCTGCATCACTTCGGGCTTTCCTCCCACATTAAGCTGACACGCCGCGATATAACTGGAATACTGTTAAAAGCGGCGTTAAACCTAACTCACTCACTCACTCAAAATTGATTCTCATAATGCCAAGTGTATATATAAATTGAATGACATGTCTGAGTATCCCTATCAAAAGTTGAGTGGTATATATCAGTTGGTATACTCTGACATACAACCTTCAGAATATAGGACTATTGACCTCAAATACACAATGTTTCATGAATTGCTTTTATAGAAGTTCAGCACGTATACGCACTAAAGACAGCGTGGCATGACCAAACCCCATAACCTTTATATAGTTTCCTTTTATGTCAGAGACCAAACGATTCATAAGCAATCGTAGCGTTCAGCCGACTGTCTTGACAACGTGGCATGCTCTCCTTTCAATCTGGATTTTGGTCTGTTTTGTCTTTTTTACTACATTACCTTGCAAAGGCCACGTACACTTTTATGATGGTCAGGTCAAGAAACAGGTAAGTTACTTAGGATTTATAAAACAACGCATCTCAAATGGGGATTCCGGATTAGAGTCATGACAGGTCTCCAGCATCACTGGCTTGTCAAAGTCAAGTCAAAGTCAAAGATATTTATTGCATGTAAGGCCTCCGGCCCATATACAACAGAGTTACAAATAAGTAGTTTACATATTTGGATATATACTCATGTTTAACAATTTGTTTCTGAGGGACATTGCATTTTTTACATACATAGCCAGTTTTAATATGACAGCATCATCTTTCGAAGAAAAGAGAGAAATAAAAGCAGGTACAGGATAATTTGACAGATAGCGATCTGGTATAAACTTTCTTCTTAGATCACAATAATAAGGACATACAAAAGTAAAATTAATTTCATTTTCTTTTGCTGAATAAAGCAGGAATGTTGCTGTGGGTTAAACAACAAACACGCGCACACACATAAAGAGGAAGTGTACACACAAAATTCACTTTCTTTCTTATTTGAAACAAAACGCAATTTAAGAATTAGTTAATATCAGTGTTTGAAAATATACACTCATTTTTCTGACAGGCAAGTCGGATGCTCACAATGAGTGAGTATGTTAGATTTGCTTTTAACAGTATTTTCAGTTACATCACGGCATATCAATCTGATGCAAGGAAAGCATGACGAAAACCTAGAAACAGATCTATTACCTCCAATACGTGAATACGGTACACTCGGTAAGCCTTTCTGCTAAGGATTGCGACCCGTGAAGATACGGGGTAGAATAGGTCTTCAGCAACCCATGCTTGCCGTAAAAGACGACTATGCTTGTCGTAAGGGGCAACTAACGGGATCGAGTGGTCAGGCTCGCTGACTTGTCATCGTATCCTAGTTGCGTGGATCGATGCTCATGATGTTAATCACTGGATTGTCTGGTCCAGACTCGATTATTTACAGACCGCGGTGATATAGCTGGAATATTGCTGAGTGCGACGTTAAACAACAAATAAATATATGCTAAGGATTGCAGTTTCGCTTTAAAAAACGTGTAATTACTGCGGAGCTTGAATAATTCATCAGCCGCTTGTGATATAAACTACGAGGGTGATATAGCAACTGGTGACCGTAGGTGTACGGCCTGGTTAGGTTCTCCTCTCCAGCCTGCCTAAATATTTACACGGCGTATTAGGGATAACATATTTTGTTTTCATTTCCTTCGACATATTCATAATACATCCAAATTACTGATAATCCGATTGTTAGAAGAAGAGAGAACACCGTTATACACCTGCAGTCAACGATGTTAATATTTTTCCAAGGGGCATTAACCGACGACCGCTTATAATGTGGGGTTATTGTGTTGACGTCGGAAGAATGCATGGATATATAACACCCGTGACAAAGTCGGAGCCTCGTACCTTGTGTTACAAATACATCTGAGCATATTCGCAAAACCACGGGGGAAACAACGACACAATCAGAGGTAAAAATTTGACATTTTCTTTCCACATATACACACTTCCTACAGGAAAATATATACGTATTGATGAAATGATATACCTACATCGGTGACCCTTGAAGATCCGGGGTCGAACAGGTCTTCAGCAACCCATGCTTGTCGTAAGATGGACTAGTCCAATTATAATGCGTATGGTGAAAACGTCTGGTGAAGATCCGGGGTAGAATAGGTCTTCAGCAACCCATTCTTGCCGTAAAAGGCGACTATGCTTGTCGTAAAAGGCGACTAACGGGATCGGGTGGTCAGACTTGCTGACTTGGTTGATGCTTGTCATCGATCCCAATTGCGTGGATCTATGCTCATGATGCCAATCACTGGATTGTCTGGTCCAGACTCGATTATTTACAGACAGCTGTCTTAAAGCTGAAATATTGCTGAGTGCGGCGTTAAACAACAAACAAACACACCTACATGGGTGTTTCGACTTCGTTGACTCAATGTTTACGGTTCACAAAATGCAACACAGAACACAGTATTAATTGTGTATGTTTTAAACGCTGTCCCTGACCGCCTCCGTGGCGTAGTGGATAGAGTGTCTGCCCGGGCAGCGGACGGTCGGTCATACCAAAAGACGTTAAACGATGGTACATGGCGTTCGGCATTAACTGGATGAAACAAGGCCTTGGGTCAGCATACTGTGCATAGGTGGGGTATCCATGTTAAACTGCGGCATGGTATCTCCTTGGACGTAGCACCCTAACAGAGGCCTCTGACGTCAATTTGGACACCTTCAAACAGTTGTATTTTCCTAACGACTCCTTATAGGTGTGTCGGACTTGGTATCAGACGTCTTAGAATTTCAAGAGCCTTCCAACGAGCCACCATGCACTAAAATCGCTTAATATTTAAGAAAAATGTGTTTTTCACCTCTCCAGCAAAAGGACTTCCAAGTCAGCAAATGGAAAAGATATGGTTCTACCTGGAGTGTTTGAGAAAAGCGCCAATTTTCGTCTCAGGAGTAGGGGCGGTCGGGTAGCCTAGTGGTTAAAGCGTTCGCTCGTCACGCCGAAGACCCGGGTTCGATTCCCGACATGGGAAAAATGTGTGAAGCCCATTTCTGGTGTCCCCCGCCGTTATATTGCTGGAAAATTGCTAAAAGCGGCGTAAAACCATACTCACTCACTCCATGGACTTGCTCTATAAAACCGGTATTAGTCCCGACAAGGACAGAGACACACACACTCTCTCTCTCTCTCTCACTCTCACACACACACACACACAACCACCGACCCGGTACAGATGTTAAGTTTAAATATATATTCTTGCTCATGAACACAGTTGGCTATGATTTTCAAATCTACTAAGGTTCTACCCAACATGTACCGGCCTGTAGTGTTTATTAATTTTCAGATTTATCTAGCGCCAGATAATATATATAATTTTACTACATGGACCTGAGATGTGGGGTATGGAATTATATGATTCAGTGGAGAAACATCTCTATGCTGTATCTGTTGTGGTTCGTGTACGATATACCGATGGAATGTGTTTACGAGATGATAATATACCTTTGGAAGCCTTTTGTTTGTTTCACTTGAAAGAGAAGGTACCATCCACCGATACTATCATCTGGTTGTGGTAATGAGTGAGTTTGAAACAACACTGCTTTCAACAGTGGTCAGTTATATGAAGACATGTCAGCTTGACGAGGGAAGTAAACTTGAGGTGTTTCAGGACTTAAAAGTTTCACACTTTGTTTGAAACCAAGAGCACAGGTAAGATGCAGACCAATTTAGGACAAAGACAGGGCGAAACCGGGATTCGAACCCTCAATCACAGGTTTCTGCCACGCCCAAGACGCAATTTTGAACAGCGAACTGCGGCGCATCAGATCACAATAACATGCGTGCCCCTAGTTATAACCATCCGGGTGGCGTATTGCCCAGTCGTCTAAGGCGCCGCGAATCGCTGTGCAGAGTTGCGTCCCTTGGGCACGACAAAAACCTATGTGTGTTCGAATCCCGGTTCGCCCCGATTGTTTCTAGGTTTGTCAGCACCATACCCGTGCTCGTGGGTTTCACCGAAGAGGTAAACGTCTGAGACCTGCATCACTTCGGGCTTTCCTCCCACATTAAGCTGACACGCCGTGATCTAACTGGAATAATGTTAAAAACGGCGTTAAACCCAACTCAGTCACTCACTCACTATAACCATCGGAAGACATTGTTTGATGAAGATCACTTAACACAAAGATAACACACGTCTAACTAGGTTCACATAACAATTTCATTATCAAAGGGATAACTATTGATCATTCAATTAATTGTCTGGTTTTAATCAATTCATAACCAAATTAGCAGTTTTTTTCTGTAATAAGTAATAAGTATTGATCAGACAATACCTTTTAGAAAGTGTTAAAATGTAACGTTTGTTATATTTGGGATTACACTTTCTAAGTAATGTACACATTCTTTTTCAAATACTTTTTAGTCGAGTCCAATCAGGTACAATTATCAAAAGTTTGCATTTCTGTTTAGAGGACAACAGCTGTACAGGCCATTTTACCGTAATCCCTGACGTGAACTCATTGACAAGAGACGATGCCACGAAAACTAGTGTCAGATCCATATAGGGGATGGTATTCTTGGGAATCTCACTTCAATGCTGCAATGCGTATGAGTTCACGGTCTTTGTGGGCTCTAAAGATGAAGAACGAAAAGGAAGACCTAACCTGCAAGAGGCACCTGGACAAAATCACCTTTGACCAAAGGATAGAAACATCCGAGCATTCCAAGAATGTCAAGACCCTCCAACGTGAATACAATAAACTGATCGCCTTCAAGAAGGTGTCCGATATCTATAACTTCCAACAACATGAGAAGCTGAAAGAAAACAGACAAGTCTCTAGTCCTATGAAGGAGTCGAACAATGTGTCAACTTGTAAACCTTCTAGGGACAATAAGTGGAAGAAGATGCTCCAGCCTCATTTAGATACAGCCAAACAAGATACCCACGCTGATGAAACCAAGAAAGATGGGTACCATTACTCGTATGATCTCTTCCCCAGCCTAACTCTGTACAAGGCTAAGGCGGGATGCTATCCAGGACATCTACCACAAACTGGTACAGGTTTTCGGAGGTTACTGTCGAAGGAGAATGGACTTCTGGTTCCAGAGAAGATACGCTCTGAAACAGCTGATCAAAACTGGTCTCAGACCTTAGCTAGCGTCAAGGGTATTGTGAGGTGGAAGACTCTTATGCAAAGATCGAAAGAGGAATCGGTTCAAAAGGATGTTGCAGTGGGTCCAAACGTCGAAACTCGGGCCTCCAAGAGATCGGTTTTACCAGGAGATTGCAAGAATATATATGCTCTGAAGAAACTGATGAAGAAAGAGCTAAAAGAAGCTGTGGATTATGAAAATAGGAAGAGAATATTATTTCCATCTGTATCAAGAAAGGCGCCGTTTAAAGCGAACTGTTGCAGCAAATTTGGAGACGTGACCACCATGAAAGTGTTTTCAATGATATAAAGTAACTTTCAGTTGAGGATACATTGTAACCACGTTGACATTTCAAAGATGACATCGCCCAGTATCCATGAACACTGTGTTTTCGTGCAAGTCACTGGATATACAAAACTAGTCTTTTACAACAGATTTAGCAAAACTCCAAAGCATCAGTTCGATAATTTTTATTCCTGAGTAAAGATTCACAGTCTTTCTGGTTGTATTTATTTTTTTACCATCATTTTCTCGCCCAGGACGAAATACCTGTAACATAAAAATGTATATGGTGTATTTCATTCTTATGTTAAGAGTATCTCCTACCATCCTTCTTTCAAAAAAAGCCAGTACACGTTAAAGGATAGTAAGTGTGTTTGTTTGATGTTTAAAGCCGCACTGAGCAATATTCCAGCTATATGACGGCGGTCTGTAAATAATCGAGTCTGGACCAGACAATCCAGTGATTGGTATCATGAGCATCGATCCACGCATTTGGGATATGATGACATGCATCAACAAAGTCAGCGAGCCTGACCACCCGATTCCGTTAACTGTCTCTTACGTCAAGCATAGTCGCCTCTTACGGCAAACGTGGCGTGCTGAAGAGCTATTCTGACCCGGATCTTCACGTGTCAGGAAAGTGAGTGAATGTTGTTTTATTCTGACCCGGATCTTCACGGGTCAGGATAGTGAGTGAAAGTTGTTTTACGCCACAGACAAATATATGACGGCGACCTGTGAATAAACGGGTCTGGGAAAGACAACCCGCTTGTTGATATCATGGGCATCGTCCCACGCCGTAGGGTAACGATGTTATGCAATCTACCAAGTCACTGAGCCTGACCAACCGATCCACGTTGTCACCTCTTAGGAGACGTAATAACCAGTATACGCGGGACAGCAAGCATGGACCCTTGCCAAAAGCCGAACTCACTTTTCCTTGGTTAAAGCCAAACCATCAGAGCTCCCCGGATCGGGTTCCGGGTCATAAATGTTCCCAAATCTGTCTCCGTGGCCTGGCTAAATGCCTGTTATCGTACACCAACAGCATTGATCGTTCCTCACGATATCGGTCACAGGATTGTCTGGTCCAGACTCGATTATTTACAGGCCGCCGTCCTTTGACTGAACTTTTGCTGAGTGAGTGTGTGTGTGTGTGTGTGTGGGGGGGGGGGGGGGGGGGGGGGGGAAGAAGCAAACAAACACCGGAACTACAGTCCGTTTGACTCCAAATGAGAACGATGAATTGCAAAATAACTCGAAATCCAGAAAAGTGTATGAAACATCAATACGGTACTTGACCATGAATACCCTGTACCCAAAAAATCTGATTTTTTTTATTTTAAGGCCCACGACGGATGAAGTTCTTTAAGAAACTATCATGTAATTTTGTATAGAAATGTGTACATGACACGTAGGGGGTACAAACCGTGGAAGGCACAGCGCAAGCACGCATGCACTGCACGTTCTGTGGTTGGGGAAATGACAGAGCGTTAGAGGGGCCGTCTCATGATCATTTCAGTCGCAATCTGACTCGCTCATGCCATAGATCTCGTCGTCGGAACTGCTGGTGCCTGAACCGACTGCCACTATTATAGGTTGGACTGTTGCTGGCCGTAGTCCATCTCGGGACCAATAACGTGGCTCTATCTCGTCAACGACTGTGGCCACACAACGCCTCCATGTTTCTACTGTTACCCGACCAAGGGATTCCATTACGAGTTGTTCAACGTCAACGTCTTGAACGTTGTGTTCGATCGTCAAACGTCACCCTTGACGATGCCCCATACCAACTCGATTGGATTCAGGTCGCAGTGATAAGGTGGCAGTCGTAAGACAGCGTGACCCTGACCCTTGATGTAACTGTCAACTTTATACACGGGGTCAGGTTTCATAGTTTTGATGATTTCATAGAGCTGTGGTTTCGTCGCTCGAGAAGGAAAGGTAATGTTCCTCCGTTGCAGCCAAGTAACCATGTCTCCTTTACGGTTATTAGAGGTTGGAGTCTTGCTTTCTGGATCCTGCACACTATGATACGGTGCATTGTCCATGACAATGAGAGACTTGGTAGGCAAAGCAGGGACTAATTTATCTTTCACCCACTCCAGAAATACATTGCCGTTCATTTCTGTGTGGTAGTCCCTGTTGTCTTTGGCCTTGGCTCTAAAGACGAGGTCACAGTCTGGGAGTAAACCCTGACTAGCAGAACCAGCATGGATAACTATGAGTCTTTCACCCTTTCCCATTGGTAACTTTCTACCAGACTCCTTACAGTCACCACTGGGTACCCACTGACTGTTGGCTGTGTGTGACGCATTTACCCATGTCTCATCTAAGAAGACGGGCTCATATCCGTCTTCACGTTTCTGCTTGATGGTACGAAGGTAATGATTTCGGAAACGAACAATGTCAGACCGTTCACACAACACAGCCCTATTTTCTCCAGTTATCTTTTTGTATTTGTAACCAAATGTATGCAACAGCTGCCATAGTTTGTACTTTGTAACACGTAAATCATGGTCAGTTTCAAGGTGTTTCTTCAAAATTCTTAGGGACAGGTACTTATTTTCTAGGTGTAGTTTAACAATTGCACGTCTGACTTGATCCCTCTGAAAACTGTCTAATTTATCAACCTTGCGTGGTTTTGACATGTTCCCTACCTCCTTGGCCCGACTATTTGTATCTCGTCGACTAACAACATTTTTAAGTTTCTGAGGGGACATACCAAGAGCTTTTGAAGCTCGTTTCAAGAATTTATTAATTGCATAAAAAGACTTTGCTCTTTCTGCTTCACTTCTAAAGAAATCATACACAATCAACTGTTTAACATCTGCTGAGCAGCGCATCTTGACATTGAATGAACACGGTCACTGTGTAGCACGTGCAGACCGTGCTTGCGCTGTGCCTTCCACGGTTTGTCCCCCTACGTGTCATGTACACATTTCTATACAAAATTACATGATAGTATCTTAAAGAACTTCATCCGTCATGGGTCTTAAAATAAACAAAATTCAGATTTTGTTGGGTACAGGGTATTCATGGTCAAGTACCGTATTGATGTTTCATACACTTTCCTGGATTTCGAGTTATTTTGCAATTCATCGTTCTCATTTGGAGTCAAACGGACTGTACCTTTGCGTCAAACATATCCCATGGTGAAAATCTTACTTTTCAATCTTCTCGTCCAGCCATGCTTTGTGTTTGAGATTCGCCACCCATGATGCCGGAAGTGCAGACATTCCTAGTTTACATCCCAGAAGAGCTCCCGCCACAGCGCCATTTGTGTCCGCATCACCACCCTGGCAATAATACATAAAGCGTCTGTATGTGCTACGAGCAGATCGTCAGGTCAACGTTTAACATGTTAGGTATGTTCATCTTCCCGAGGCAAGGGAGTTAACTAACTAAAAGTCCAGTTTCAACCCTTGCCGAACAAGGCTGGAATTTCCAAGCTCGATCGTAGCGCCACCAGTGGCTATTACGAGTAATGTCCGTCTATTTCCCTCATATTGACCAATCAGATTCCATCTTTCACATCACTTGTATTTGCTTCAAATAAAATGGCAGTGCCCAGTCGAGACAATCTGATCGAGGTGAGGTGAGGTGAAATTGGGTTTAACGTCGCGTCCAAGATTATTGCACTTATATAGCGACGTGCATGCACGTGTATGTGTGTGTGTGTATGGCTGCTTGTACTAGTCCGGACTGATGCCGATTTATAGTGCTAGCTCACTGAGATACCATGCCGCAGTTTAACATTAATACCCCACTCAGACACAGTATACTGACTCCGAGCCGACCAGTCCTTGGTTTAGCCCCTTAATGCCGAGCGCCAGACAGGGTAACAACAAGTACAATCTTTTACTTGTTTTTGTATGACGCGGCCCGGGATCGAACCCTTGACCTTCCGCTCTCCGGGCGGACGCTCTACCACAAGACAACGGAGGCGGTCTCAATCTGATCGATAATTAAGAACTTTATGTGTAATAAAACGGGACTTAACCCGCAAAGCGCATCAAATCACCTGAACATCTTGATTAAAAACAGGAAAAGATTTGCAAAATATCTGCGACACCCAGTTGACGGAACACATGTTTTGAAAATACATCGATCAGTCGATCAATATCTGCACGTTGAAATCCATGTTGTTTACGAACCGTGTCTCGTTCGTTTGATTGGACTATGCATTTAGTTTAGTGTTTTAGAGTGAGTGAGTGAGTTGGGTTTAACGCCGCTTTTAACAGTATTTCAGTTATATCGCGGCGTGTCAGCTTAATGTGGGAGGAAAGCTCGAAGTGATGCAGGTCTCAGACGTTTACCACTTCGGTGAAACCCACGAGCACGGGTATGGTGCTGACAAACCTAGAAACATAATTGGGGCGAACCAGGATTCGAACCCACAATCATAGGTTTCTGGCATGCCCAAGGGACGCAACTCTGCACAGCGAATCGCGGCGCCTTAGACGACTGGGCAGCCCGTGCCCCCTAGTGTTTTAGAGATGTACCCAAGAGAAGACTATGCGATAAACATGGAATAATGTTCGAAATTATAGGCGTGTAACTACATAAACAAACCCATGAGTATCAGAATCTGTCTCACCCTCAAAGAACCCCACTTTCAATACAACATGCTGTGTCAGTAATGCAAATGATATACATGAGAATATAATCACCCACGGCAAATTTCAAAGACGCAATTAGATTAATCTCATAGTATGACCAGTAGTAACGTCTCACCTCCATGACGATTTTCTGCAGTGCCTTCCTGAAGTCCTTCTGTTTGAGAGCCCAGAAGCCTGCACCCAGACACTTGTAGGTGTAGCCGATCTTGCCGGACTCCGACAACCTCAGGTCCCGGATGTTCTTCATCTCCAGGAATGACTTCAGTTCCTTTTTCTGGACCAAGTCAAAAGTAAATACAAGTGTGCTTCTAAGGCCATCTCAATTTTATTTCTCATATTTTTTTATATTTAAAGTAAAACAAGCATGAAATACTCATATCCCCCGCCAATATGACATGTCCGGTTGTGTGCAATGCATTAGCTCCTGTGAACAATGTTCTCTGGGCCTTTTTGTTAATTGCAGCACTAAAAAAAGTTGTTACTGGTGTTGTTTTGCCATCTGCAGTTTATGATAGAATATGTAACTGTATTTGTAATGAGTAAGGATGAGACATATGGACGAACAACTTCTATATTACAATTAGGATCGATGGTTTCGGTGTAGGTTCTAACACCGTTATCAAGCAAGTGAAGTACAGAGTATGGTTGACAAGAATATATACAGGATAGGAGGCAGTGATTATACAGTTGAGTAGGTTTAAGATCAGTTACACTGTTGTATTTGTAATGAGTTGTGTTTCTGCAGGAAGTTAGTCAGTGAATGCAACAACCGTTTCCATGACACTTTTGGAGGAGGAACATACACACTAAGCAATGCAGAACTTACAAACAAGAAAGGAAATGTATTCATTACTGCGAGATGACATTATGTGCCAAGTATGGTGAAGAAATATGGTACGGTTTTCAAGATCTGCTCCGGAAACGAGGACTACCGCCATTTTCAGTCTCAATCAAAGTCGTTGCAATGGAAACTCGAAAAAAAATATTTTTTTAAATCCCAAACTATCAAAAGGCACCGGTTCACCACTAGACCTATCTATGGGCCAAGTTTGGTGAAGAAATATGGGACGTTTTTCAAGATCTGCTCCGGAAACGAAGACTACCGCCATTTTCAGTCTAAATCAAACTCGTTGCCATGGAAAACCCAAACTATCAAAAGGCACCAGTTCAGGAAATCCCCCCAACTTCACATTCGTTGTTGCTGATAATGTTTGGATAAGGTCGGATTATACCTGATATTCCAGATACATTTTAGGCTTAGGTCAAGCCGGTATGATGATATAAATTGAAATATTGCATTAAATCAATGAATCAATATTCGAGTTGGTAATCAGTTGAGAATTTGTAAACAGGAAAATATATTCGTTCATCGTTTTTGTCCACTAGCCTACATCAAAGCCTAGTTTATAAATAGCTCAAACATCCTCAGAACTAATAGAAGCGGCGTCAGCTTTCTGCAAATTCAATGGACTTTAGCATTTTATCCGACAGAATACAATAACGGTGAGGGTTCGATGTCCCATACTCGTCCTGATTATGCTGAAACGTTTTTAACGCCTCACACAGCAATATTCGCGCAATACGGCGCTGACCAGACAAACCGGTGATTGGTATGATAAGCCGTCGGGGTACGTTGACACGCAAGCGACAATACGTCACACAGCTTGACCATCCGATTAATTCAGTCATCGCCTATAACAAGCATTGGTTGCTGGTGACCCATTCTAATCTGGAATCCCAGCCGGGTGTCCTGATTGTGACGGCTGGATCATCCAGCACCATACCCGTCCGACAGTCCTTTAGCCATTTGATTGGCTACGGTACTAGGTCTAAAGTACCAATAAGAATGCAGTTACAGTGAGTGAGGTTTTACGCCGCTTTTAGCAATATTCCAGCAATATCACGGCGGGGGACACCAGAGATGGGCTTCACACATTGTACCCATGTCGGGAATCGAACCCGGGTCTTCGGCGTGACGAGCTAACGCTTTAACCACTAGGCTACCCGACCGCCCCCTAATGCAGTTACAAATTAGCCTCAATGTTGGGTTGGCCATATAACAACATTGCGACCTGTCCAACTGATAGTGTTTGCGAGAAATTCAAAGTTGAAAAACTGATTGACACGCAAAAGAAAACCCTCAAAAATCGTTGTGATGGGGAAGATATCTGCAGGTCAATTCAAACTGGCTAAGGGAAGTAACTCGTATTCCCTTAAAACGAATTTAGGCAATACGAGTTACCTCCCTTGTCCATTTCTTTATCTCGACGTATGATTGGTCGGTTAAATGTTAATGAAAATTAAGGGCAGTGAATTTAAGATTGCTGGAACCACGGGGTTGGGGTTGGTTTACCGAAATCCTAGCCCTGGAGATATAGAGGATGGGACAGTCCTCCCACGTGAAACTGACACCTCCTGATGAAGCTGAGATACTGTCAAAGCCGCAACAATCTCACTTATTGACAAGTTGCCAATGGATGCCTACCTCTTCCTGTGTTTGAAGGCACGCAGCGGCCATGTGAAAGCTGTCCTGTATGATTACATTCACCCTGTATTTCCCGCTGCGCTTCATGTGTTGTGGCGCTCTCTTCAACATCAGACTTATTGCCACCGACACAGCAACTGTCGATGCCTGACACCTGAAACAACAGAAAGAAGACAGATTCAGTTAATATTTTACATGACATCACTTAAGTCACTATAACAGCTATATAGAGGTGAGGTGAGGTGAAATGGGGTTTAACGTCGCGTCCAAGATTATTGCACTTATATAGCGACGTGCATGTACACGTGTGTGTTTGTGTGGCTGCTTGTACTAGTCCGGACTGATGCCGATTTATAGTGCTAGCTCACTGAGATACCATACCGCAGTTAAACATGAATACCCCACTCAGACACAGTATACTGACTCCGAGCCGACCAGTCCTTGGTTTAGCCCCTTAATGCCAAGCGCCAGACAGGGTAACAACAAGTACCATCTTTTAACGTCTTTTGGTATGACGCGGCCGGGGATCGAACCCCGGACCTTCCGCTCTCCGGGTGGACGCTCTACCACTAGACCACGGAGGCGATCTAGCTATATAGAGAAGTGTACGCCAGACATCGTACAATACAATTTATCATACCTCTATGTCAGAATGATGAGATCTGATTGGTCCACGTGATCTTGATAAACTACATAAATTTCCCATTAAACCTCGCTTCGGGTCAATTAAAGTCGCGTGACAGCACAAGTTAACCTCAGCTCAATGGAACAGCTGTATTTGAACATATTAAAACTACAATGTCATATTAAAAGATAAGATGCGTTGCAGCAGGATCACTCGGGTTATGGACCGCCTCCGTGGTCTTGTGGTAGAGCGTCCGCCCGGAGAGCGGAAGGTCCAGGGTTCGATCCCGGGCCGCGTCATACAAAAAGACGTTAAAAGATGGTACTTGTTGTTACCCTGTCTGGCGCTCGGCATTAAGGGGCTAAAACAAGGACTGGTCGGTTCGGAGTCAGTATACTGTGTCTGAGTGGGGTATTCATGTTAAACTGCGGCATGGTATCTCAGTGAGCTAGCACTATAAATCGGCATCAGTCCGGACAAGTACAAGCAGCCACACACACACATACACGTGCATGCACGTCGCTATATAAGTGCAATAATCTTGGACGCGACGTTAAACCCAATTTCACCTCACCTTACTCGGGTTATGCATCCCTCGTTAGGTTTTAAAAACCAAACGCGGAACACATAAAACCCCATGTACCCCTCGTGATCCTGCTACAACTTATAGCGTACTGAGCAAGTGCCTCGCTGATGGTAACGTCGCCTGATAACTGAATGCGCCAAAAGGATGATCATTGTCAACCGTCAACAGCAGAGCTCCAGATAAGCTGCGTATCTGCGTGAAATACGCATCAGAAATGCAAAAATACGCAGTAAAATATAATCCATCAAATACGCAACAAACAGTACAGATACGCTATAAAATTTGTGCGTATAATCAAAATATTGTGAAAAAATATTAGCAAATCAGCAACTTATTTTGAAATTATAAACGGGCATTCCGTCAACCTTGCCAAACTCCACGATGACAGTTACATCATGATCATTTGCCATCACACTTTCGTATGGAAGTATCGTGGTATTTTTTAGTCCTATAAAGCTCTCGAACCCACACGACCCCAGTTTGCAGGGACTAGATGAATAGTGTTTTTAAATATTTAACTTAAATACCCACATGTGTAAAAACTAGTGGGTAACAGAAATTTGAATACGCAGATAGAATTACTGATACCCAATGATTTTAAAATGCATGGGTAAAATACCCACAACACCAAAAGCTTATCTGGAGCTCTGACTACAGTCTCTTTTACTTGGGCGGTACCGTCCAGATAAATGGGCTTACGGTAGATACCGAAGCCAAAGAACGAGCTTCGTTATTTTGCTATTTATAGCATCACTGGATTTTACTACACTGTCCGATTTGATAGTTCAAATATCTGAAATATCTTCAGTGAGGGGGTCTCGTGTCACTTTGAGGCTTTGAGTATAGCTCGATCGTTTCCTTTGAAAGTGTTTTAATATCGTGTTCTTCTTTAATCCTCTACAGACAAAAATAATGGAACTCGAGAATAAAATATTTCAGAAATACATCTAAAATTTGTCAATAATAAAGGGCAAGTTCACACGGAAATGAACCTATTTTTCTTGTTCCTTTTTCCACATTAAAAGTGTTAACCTAGAAGTGTCATAGACAAAAATATAAAAATATCACAACTAATTAACATATTTTTCGCATTAAAACGATTTATATTTTTCACATTTACCAAGTGTTCTATTTCCACAACAAAAACACCATGGCTTATGCCCCTTGCAATATGACGTCATTGGTGCCAATTGATAAACATTATGACGTCATCATGCTTTGTTAGAGCCGCTTCACGTGGTGTAGGTACAGGTGTGTGATTCTAGCGTCTCAGATGCCAGCCAGTCTAGTGTTATGCTGAGTCACCACTGCGCCGGAGTGTGTCGTAGGCCATGTTGTTTTACCGCAAACTGGTACTTGATATCTTTTGCGTTGAGAATAGACAGGGACCCAGTTGAATTGGCACCAACTACGTCATAATCTAAGGGGGATAACTCAGGCCTGATTAGCTCGAAAAACGAAGGCTTCATAACGGCATATCATTTTCACACTATTGTGAGCTTCCTACTTTCACTGTGAAAAAAATGAGTGTGTATTTTCAAACACAGATACTAATTGATTCTAAAATTGCGTTTTGTTTAGAAAAAGATAAAAAGTGATTTTGGCGTGTACACTTCCCCTTTAAAGCCATCTCCCCGAGGCAAGTCTCGGAAACTGGGCTTTTAAAGTCAGTTAACTCCCTTGTCTCGGGAAGATGTATTGAAGCCAGTGCTTCAAGAGCTTCTGGATCTCTGCTCAGTACTGACAGGAAGCAGCGACATTATAACAGACAGTATGTGATGAAGTCTTTTAATTCTATGATTTGACGATGTTTTTGTCAAACAATAAATTTGGGTATGTTGACAAATTGTACAATATTGTGTTGTTCAATATTTATTTAATTTACCTGGCATAACGGTGTTTGGGCCATTTGGTTTTATATGATTAAATATGGGACTGGGACTTTATCGAAAAATATATATTGTTAAAGAAATTGCTTGTAAAAATAATATGCTGTCACAAATAATACAGTTTTGCAAGATGTTTTTTTTTTAAATAGTTCAAACTCATGGCCTTAAGAGAATATGCATTTACATTATGTAGAGCTACGATTACCTGGGGTCGTAGTGCGTAGTTCTGCATATATCCAGGGCATTGTGAGCCACAGCCTCCGTATCCCAAAACTGCTGAACGCCCAGAATAGAGGTTCTCATCACAGCTCCGTTTGATGCCGCCATTTTCCCACTTTCCCACCATTCGCGCGCAGCCTGTACGAAATAACCAGTATTGTTACCCAGAAGGGAGCGGGGTAGGTGTAATAAACATTTGGTAATTTATTAGTAATTATTATTTTCTAGCAATGTGCTGAATAATAAATTAAGTAATTTGATTGGCTGAGAAGTTTTCATTCATTCATTCATTCATTCATTCATTCATTCATTCATTCATTCATTCATTCATTCATTCATTCATTCATTCATTCATTCATTCATTCATTCATTCATTCATTCATTCATACAAAGACCTACAACCAGCCACGCGATTACAATGTCCAGTGACCATATGTGGTCTCTGCTATGTCCTTGACCAGAGTTTAAAGTAATGACACTACGACACAATCCTCTTTACATCGAAAATATGACGTGTACTTAGGAGATAAACCTACAGTGTTTTTATTTGAGAGGTTTCTCGCGTAGATTCATTTGAAAGATTTACGAGTTTCGGATCGAACCAAGGCCCGGGACTATAAACGTCATTAATTTCACTCAGGACACGGAGTCCGTGATTCCTCGTAGCTCGTATGTTACATTGTGATATCGAACTCATTTACTTTTTCAAAAGGTCCGTGCACACTACTTGGAACATGACCAGGACCCACTTGCACAAAGCGATCTTAGCGCTAAGATGATCTTAACTCCCATACTTTAACATAGGCTTAAAATAGTCTTAGTGCTAAGATCGCTTTGTGCAAGTGGGCCCTGGTGTGTGCGTAATTTCGATCATTACACACCCTCGGCAGTTTTCATATTGAGAAGGGTGCAATGGCAAGATCACATTCGAATATATGACACGTTTCTTGTGTTGGAAGGTGACCAATTAGTTGAAAATCTATTCTGATGATCCCATAATTCAAGATGGAAGACACCTTAATCACCTTAATTTACCTTGTGTGGCTGTGTGACAAATTCGGGGTTGGCAATAACCTTTGCTGTTGTAGTACCGATTCCCATGCCGACGCGATCGCCAAGTTCAGGAAAGCCATTTCGAGACCAAAACTTCAACCTTTCTGCAAAATCCTCGGGTTTAACCTGTAACAGGTAATGTAGCATAATATTGTTTACTGTACAATGAAGTGTGGGCGAATGTGGGTGTGTGTTGCCGTTTGCCGCAGCCAGGAATAATAGTGAGTTGTGTTTAACGCTGCTTTTAACAGTATTCCAGTTATATCACGGCGTGTCAGTTTAATGTGGGAGGAAAGCCCGATGTGATGCAGGTCTCAGACGTTTACCACTTCGGTGGAACCCACGAGCACGGGTATGGGGCTGACAAATCTAGAAACATAATCGGGGCGAACCTGGATTCGAACCCACAATCATAGGTTTCTGGCGTGCCCAAGTGACGCAACTGGGCCACCCGTGTCCCCTGCCAGGAATAATAGATTACTGAATAGAAATTGCAGAATCAGTCGAATGAGAAAGTTGACAATCGGTTTGATTCCGTTTTGAGCAGTATTTCAGTAACAAAGAGGCATGTCAGCTAACTTGGGAGTAAAGGTCGAAAAGAGCTTTATTTCTTTAGTGAACACCACAAGTACGGCTGCGGTGCTGAACAATCCGTAAACATAATCACGAACCAATGGTCATAGGATCCTGGCACACCTAATGGACGCAACTCTGCACAGTCGCCTGGACCCTTAATTAAATGGAGATTGTCTCATTTGTCCATCGCCATATACATATTATCATACCTCCATGTCAGAATAATGAGATTTGATTGGTCCACGTGATCTTGATAAAGAATTTTTTTACTCCTTGTCAGATTAATGAAATCTGATTGCACCACGTGACCTTGGAACTCGTGAAAATCCGGGGTATATATGTCTTCAGCAACCCATGCTTGCCGTAAAAGGCGACTATGCTTGTCGTAAAAGGCGGGTGGTCAGGCTCGCTGACTTGGTTGATGCATGTCATCAATCCCAATTTTGCGGATCGATGCTCATGATAATAATCACTGGATTGTCTGCTCCAGACTCGATAACTTACAGACCACAGTCATATAGCTGGAATATTGCTGAGTGCGGCGTTAAACAACAAACAAACAAACAAACAAAACATGACCTTGGAGGGAAATCAATTTCTCAGCGGGGGAATATATGTCTTATACCCCGCCACAAGCAATGCAGGTTGAAAGTGGATATCTGTGAGGCAGAATAAATCCCTTATACCCCGCTTAAATGCAAAAGGCCGCACGCTTCCCAGATACAAAGCGTCCGTCATATAAAGGGAGATAACTCACTACACCATACATTTGGCTTTCATGTATATCTGTTACACCGAGCTGGACTACTCTTATCCTTAAGAGGCAGTACCTGTCCATCGTTATCTATAAGACTCTGTAGAATGAGTATCATCTGGTCCGTGTCATCCGTCCAGTCGCCCTCCTCCCACCGTGTTCTGTGTACATCAGGCCATAGATGCTTGTGTTCTAATTCAAGCTGTTTTCTAACTTCACCGTATTCCTGGAATCAACAAGTGTATGGGTTAAAGGAAAACAGACAGTTGAGCAACCAGGCCCCGATTTCTCGAAACAAACTTAAGTTCAAAAACTGCGTCTCAAGTGCTAAACATCAAATGCGAATAAATGAAGATTGTAGTCATATTTGTGGAAGAGTGAGTGAGTGAGTTGGGTTTTACGCCGCTTTTAACAGTATTCCAGTTATATCACGGCGTGTCGGCTTAATGTGGAAGGAAAGCCCGAGGTGATGCAGGTCTCAAACGTTTACCACTTCGGTGAAACCCACGAGCACGGGTATGGTGCTGACAAACCTAGAAACATAATCGGGGCGAACCGGGGCGCCTTATTTGTGGTAGACACTAAAATAAACGTTACCAATAGCACGTACGCTGTTTGCGTTCTCGTTAAGTTGAAATATTCAGTGAAGTTTGAAAAATATATTTGAATACTTTATATTTGTACCTCCTTAGCCTCCTCCTTGGTAAGGAACTCAGTGAGCAAGCCAATAGCATCCCCCACAGCCTGACCGTAAAGAGTCGCCAGAATCTGATCCCGGGGGTAGCCTGATTCAGCCCCTGGGGTTGAGGCCTAAACGAAAAGTATTTTGTTACAAACAGTATCGTATTTCACAAAATATGAAATATGGGTTGGAAGGCAGTCAGTTTGACCATGATGAATTATGTCTACACATCTAAAGCTTCAATTAAAACATATATGATTTATATGTCGGGGGAGGGGGAGGGGGGGGGGGGGGGGAGAGAAGTAACTTCCCCCGATAACCTTATTTTTCTTAATGTCAGCCGATCCACGCAATATGTTTAATGTCGATACGATAAGCTCAAAGAAACATTTCGAAGTTCCTAGACCAAGTACATTTAATTCGAAAAAGTGTTAAGCAAGTTTCATTTACAAATATCCACATGGGTGACCCTAAATTTAGATCAATTTATAAAGTCCCTCTTTTAAAAAGCTTATTTACGTTCCTGTTCAAATTAATCATATATCAAATTCGTGAAAAGGAAATAAACGATAATATTAATAATAAGTATTATTATTACTATTATTTAATTTATTAATTAAATATATACCTTAGTAACAAATAATATCTGCGTGGATCGATGCTTATGATATCGATCACTGGATTGTCTGGTAAAGACACGATTATTTACAGACCGGCGTCATATAGCTGGAATATTGCCGAGTGCGGCGTTAAACAACAAACAAACAAACCAAACAAACCACGGTGCCATTGAGATTGTAACACAATAAAAGAGACCAGAAAATAATAGTAGACTTTGTCTGCTCTTTTTAAAAGCATTTTCACATTCCTAAATTAATTAAATATCTACATTAGCAACAAATAATATCTGCTCAAGGCGACATGCAAGAAGACCGACATGGCAGAAACACACTCACCGCTTCGGCCATCGCTATCAATAGACAGGACGCCCTAGATCGTCATCGCTGAACAAGCGCGATGGTTCTCTTCGGGCCGAGCTTGTTTCCCCTTGCTTCATACATATTAACTGCTGTTTCCAGGCGATGCGCTTGATAGTTCTAACGCCGTTTGATGCATGTTGGGTAGCAGTTAACTGTGGATAACCTCCCTGTACAGTTATTCTTTATATATTGCTATATGACCGTTTCTGCACCTCTAAACAGCAACAAGTCTTACATGAATATATCGAATAGGGCAAGTACTATTAATAACCATGGGAAGGGAGGTAACTTGCAAGTGAGTATCTGACAAACCTTTAGAAAATGGATGCAGTTGTCTGCTTGCAGATATTATCAGATTGTTCACTTTGCATATTTTAAATGAGGGACTAAAGTACGACTTCAGTATGACTAACAGTGTAATTCTGTAACATGTGGCGAGTGTTTACCGTCCCGTAATTATAATATTGTAGCGTTCTTATCATAAAAAGCAAAATGGCTCCTATATGGGGACGAGGGCTAGAATTGGTCTTGTAAGAGTCGAATAAAATCGATCGGATAGTTAGGCTCGGTGGCTGTACGTTGATCGCAGTCCAACTGCGTGAGAAGTTGATCTTTAATATCATACTCGATGATTTGATGATTTTCCCTGATTGCCTGCCCTCATGATGCATTGCAATACGTAATACTCCCTTAAACTATGTTTATTCCCACATAATAATTGGTTATTCCCACATAATAATTGGTTTTAGTAAGAGCAAATCATGAAGTATTTCGCCATAAATACTGTTATATTCTTTTAGGCGTTTTCTCATCACCGGGGTACTTGAGTGAGTGAGTGAGTTGGGTTTAACGCCGCTTTTAACAGTATTCCAGTCATATCACGGCGGGGGACACCAGAAATGGGCTTCACACATTGTACACATGTCGGGAATCGAGCCCGGGTCTTCGGCGTGACGAGCGAACGCATTAACCACTAAGCTACCCGACCGCTCCTGAAGTTCGAAGAACATGAATACATGACACTTGTTTATATAACAACTTTTTTAATTCTTTGTAACGGCATTTCAGAGCTACTTTCTTGCTCCTTTGTCACCTGAATACAGTATTTATATGTGGTAAGGTGAAATAGGGTTTAACGTCGCGTCCAAGATTATTGCACTTATATAGCGACGTTCATGTACGTGTTTGTGTTTGTGTGGCTGCTTGTACTAGTCCGGCCTGATGCCGATATATAGTGCCAGCACACTGAGATACCATGCCGCAGTTAAACATGAATACCCCACTCAGACACAGTATACTGACTCCGAACTGACAAGTCCTTGTTTGAGCCCCTTAATGCCGAGCGCCAGGCAGGGTAACAAGAAGTACCATCTTTTAACGTCTTTTGGTATGACGCGAACGAGGACCGAACCTCAGACCTTCCGCTCTCTGGGCGGACGCTCTACCACTAGACCACGGAGGCGGTCAGTATTCATATGAACGCTCTGGTGCGTATAAACACATCAATTGTTGCATGCACTTTTCACAGAAAAAATATATAGGTACATACACGAACGAAATTAAAGACTATCTGTCCCTCAAGAAATAAATTGTGTGTATAGCAACAATATTCACAGACTGTCGGGCAGACATGGCGGAGTAGAGTTACGTCCCTTTCTTTGTCGTCTGCTCGGCGAGCTTTACCGTCACAATGTCCTCCAAACAAGGCGAAAATGTCTTGCATTCACTTGCATATAGGCATTTTGATGTTATGGAATATGCTAAACAGGTTATTATATGGTACTTACCATACCCAATATCAACACACGGACCCGTGAGGAACCGGGGTAAAATATGTCTGCAGCAACCCATGCTTTCCGTAAATAGCGAGTTACTTGTCGTAAGAGGCGACTAACGGGATCGGGTGATCAGGCACGCTGATTTGGTTGATGCATGTCAATGTATCCTAGTGGCGTGGATTGATGCTAATGATGTCAATCACTGGATTGTCTGGTCCAGACTCGATTATTTACGGACCGCCGTCATATAGCTGGAATATTGCTGAGTGCGACGTTAAACAACAAACAAACAAACAAACAAACTCAAATGAGATGTCTTACATACTCTTTACATATTCAAATTGAGAGGAATTGTAGTAGTGGCAGTAGTTTGTTGTTTAACGCCGCACTCAGCAATAGTCCAGCTATATGACGGCGGTCTGTAAATAATCGAGTCTGGACCAGACAATCCAGTGATTGATATAATGCCCATCGATCCACGCAATTGGGATCGATGACATGCATCAACCAAGTCAGCGAACCTGACCACCCGATCCCGTTAGTCGCCTTTTACGACAAGCATAGTCACCTTTTACGGCAAGCATTGGTTGCTACCCCGGAATCTTCACGGGTCCCATAAACACGGAGCAATATGTTTTACCGAATAGAGATCAGCACAAAACAAGGTCGTGCTTCTCACATACATATTGTCATATACAAGTTCTTCGTTTGTTAACCTTCTTGGTCCTCACTTGATTCATCAGCAGTTTCTGAGGTTGCTGTGCCGTCTTTCATTCGCACCAAAATCTTTAGAAATCTGAAATTTCAAAGCAAACATGTTTTGAGTTAGGACCTGCATATGTACTTCATATACTCCCGGACAATTACCATATGCTTACCCTAGTTCGCGAACGCCTTGTGTCATCACTGATTTTCAGCGATCCATTAAATTTATAATATTTTCAATAATTTTCACCACTATTTTGTCTTGAACGCCATACTGGAATTAGTTGCGTCGGTAATCGTTACGTTATTATGTTTCCGTGTTGGTTCTAACACTGTTATCAAGTGGGATCACCAGTTGTACTAAAGAAATTGTTTATCCATAGGAACTTGCCATCGTTTAATGTTAAGCTATGAATTCAAAGTTCAAAGGAAACCATGGTGATGCCTTATATCTAATGTCCTTACCTTTCAATTTTTTCATCCAGCCAATCCTTGTGCTTGAGCTTGGACACCCATGACACCGGAAGTGCAGACATTCCTAACTTACAAGCCAGGAGAGCTCCGGCTACAGCACCATTGGTGTCAGCATCACCCCCCTTTAGAGACAGAACAATTGTATTAGAAACGAATAAATACGTTCAGATGTGTAGAATACACTTAATGCACTTAAGTAATATTAGCATTCAAAGGAAAGTACTATTATGTCCACAACAAACCTCCATAACAATTGTCTGCAGTGCCTTCCTGAAGTCCTTCTGTTTCAGTGCCCAGAACCCGCAGCCCAGACACTTGTAGGTGTAGCCGATCTTTCTCTCCTCACATAGGTTGAGTTTGTGTATTTTCTTACACTCGAGGTATGTCTTCAGCTCTTTTGCCTGGATATTATGAAATAGATTGAACTGCCATTGATGGAATGATGCGACACACGCACAACGCCGCACATGTATACAGTACATAGTGTCTGTATACGATCTGTAGAGAGTAGAATCTTTACCAGTCAAATCAGTGATTATGTATAACTCACTATTATCAGGGTATGAAACTCCCAAAATATTCAGCCAGACCACAGGACTGGCTAGCTGAAATACTTGCCAGCCCTGACCAAAACCTGCCTGCCCACTATAATCATATGTTTCTCAGGATAAGCTAACGGGGTTTCTTTTTGGTTGCATTTTATCATTCATCTTTACATGTGAATTAATGATAATCATCGGGAAATATTTAGAATATTGTCACATATGAAATATAAACCCGACCGTCGGGCAGGGGGATTTGAAAATCTGGCAGCCCGAGTTGAAATCAACCCGTCTCGGACGGTCGGGCAGGCAGGTATTTCGAACACTGCTATTATGTATTATGAGCCATGTCCAACTCCGTAGGGTACTATGACACGCAATCAACCAAGGTACCGAGCCTGACAGCCCGATTCTCTTTACTTAGCTCCCTTTAATAGGTCCTTCATCGACCACCCGAATACCCACTGGCTCATTTGTTCTATATTACATCGGGGCTAAAACAACGTAAACAACATTGGTTATAACCTGCTCATCTGTCTCTAGACACTTGGAAGACGCCACCTGGAAGCACTCCTGTATAATCGTGTCTATGTCATAGCTGCCGTTCTTCTTGATGTGCCGAGGCTGCCTCCTCAACATCAGGCTGATGGCGACTGACACCGCCACTGTCGAGGCCTGACACCTACAACGAAATGTAGATTTCAGTATTCAAGTACACCTCGTTAATGTGTCGGACAATTTCAACCTGCCGATTAAAACACCTCCCAATTGGTCTCTTCTATAACAGGAAAACAAAAGTTCCTGTGACATTAATGCAAAGTTATGTTTTTTACCAAATCTGAAAAAAATTTGTTTTGTTTGTTGTTTAACGCCACACTCAGAAATGGTCCAGCTATATGAGGGCGGTCTGTAAATAATCGCGTCTGGACCAGACAATCCAGTGATTGACATCATGAACATCGATCTACGCAAATGGGATACGATGACACATCAACCAAGTCAGCGAGCCTTGCTAGCCTATCCCGTTAGTCGCCTAACACCTCCTTTGATATAATGTGTCATACCGTTTCAGACCGCCTCCGTGGTCTAGTGGTAGAGCGTCCGCCCGGAGAGCGGAAGGTCTGAAGTTCGATCCCCTGCCGCGTCATACCATAAGACGTTAAAAGATGGTACTTGTTGTTACCCTGTCTGGCGCTCGGCATTAAGGGGCTAAAACAAGGACTGGTCGGCTCGGAGTCAGTATACTGTGTCTGAGTGGGGTATTCATGTTAAACTGCGGCATGGTACCTCAGTGAGCTAGCACTATAAATCGGCATCAGTCCGGACTAGTACAAGCAGCCACACAAACACACACACGTACATGCAGTCCCTATAAGTGCATTAATCTTGGACGCGACGCTAAACACCATTTCACCTCACCTCATACCGTTTTAACCTGCAGTACGTGTTTCAGAATGAAATACTTCCGAATCGCTCTATTTGGACATGGACACGAGTTTCTTGTCTTGCAATGAGGTTTCTATTGAAGGTACAATGTATGCAGTCTGCGTAACTGTGTACCATTTAACTCTATGTGAATGAGCGAGTACGTTTTACACCGTCTCAGCAATGTTCAGTAATATCACAGCGGGGACACCATTGGGATACGTACATTGTACCCAGATGAGGAGTCGAACCCAGGTTTTTCGGTTCGATGAACCAATGCTTTAACGCTTATGCTACCTAACCACACTTATTTATGAAACGTTGAAACGAATGAGTCAGTGAGCATCATCACTCATCACCTATTGCACTTAGCAATGTTCAGTGACATCATACGGAGGAATGAGTGAGTGAGTGAGTGAGTGAGTTGGGTTTAACGCCGCTTGTAACAGTATTCCAGTTATATCGCAGCGTGTCAGCTTTACGTCGGAGGAAAAACCCGAAGTGATGAAGGTCTCAGACGTTTACCACTTCGGTGAAACCCACGAGCACGGGTATGGTGCTGTCAAAACCTAGAAACATAATCGGGGCGAACCGGGATTTGAACCCACAATCATAGGTTTCTGGCGTGCCCAAGAGACGCAACTCTGCACAGCGAATCGCGACGACTGGGCAACCCGTGCCCCCTCATACGGGGGACACAATTGGGCTTCATACTTTGTACCAATGTGGGGAGTTGAACCAGGGTTTCCGGCTACCAAACCACGAATCTCTATGAAAAGAAGTGATTCATAGTACATGAGTACAAAGAGAAACGAGGTGTACCATTGACATTTTATGATGTTCCTCATTTTGCACCCTGATCATAAAGCACACTCTCGCTGAATAGCTCATGAGAAAATCATGAAAAATTTGCCAACTGCATTCCGATATTTCTATATATTCATAACAAACAGAAACATAGCAATAATATTAAACATAAAGTATTTTAACCTTGGATCGTAATGGGTCGTCTTACATATGGCAGTGGCATTATCAGCCACGGCGTCAGTGTCCCAGTACTGGTGTATCCCCAGAATTGACGTCCTCATGACGGCGCCATTAGAAGCGATGTTCCTCTGGTTCCTGTCCCAAAGACCAAACGCTGCCTGAGAAAGTATAATGTTAGCAGTTGTAAGACGACACGTCACGCGGACGTTATCATGCTGAAAAGTATTGATTTCAGAGTCTAACGGTGCAAGATTATGTAACAATGTATTGTACAGTCATATATGTTGTTTTTTTGAAAAAATATTCTTGCGGTCATGTAATGCCATCTTCCCGAGGCAAGGGAGTTAACTGACTTAAAAAGTCCAGTTTCCACCCTTGCCGAATTAGGCTGGAATTACTGGGCTCGACCGTTGCGCCATCAATGGCTATTACCAGTTATGTCCGTTCTAAGCCTCTCCTGTGGACCAATGAGACTCCACCTCTCGTATCACTTGCGTTTGCTTCACCCAAAATGGTGGCGCCCAGTCAGGGCGATCTGATCGATAATCAAGATCTATATTGTGATAAAACGGGTCTTACATCGCGAAATAAATCAAATGACGTGAGCACCTTGATTAAAAACATGAAAGGATTTGGAAAATATCTGCTGACAACGAGTTGGCGGTGCACATGCTTTGCAAATCCTGCAATCAATTGAAATCTGCACGACAGTTAACGAACCGGATTTTGATTTCGGTGCGCGATTTTGATTGGACTATGCATAGACTCGTTAGTCCAGACAAAATTTGACTCCATAATACGAGCCTAGTTCGGCAAAGGTGGAAACTGGACTTTTATAGTCAGTTTACTCTCTTGCCTCGGGAAGATGTGTAATGCAAAACGCAGGATACATTATTCCTTTATGTTTTACCTTGTGTGGCTGTGTGACAAACTCGGGGTTGGACATAACCTTCGCTGTTGTGGTACCGATCCCGTGGCCAACGAAATCACCGAGTTCAGGAAAGCCATTCCGAGACCAAAACTTCAACCTTTTTGCAAAATCCTCGGGTTTCACCTGCAACAGGTAAACACTATACTGTTTACTGTACAATAAATGTTGGTGAGTGTTGCCGTTTGCCGCAGACAGGAATAATAACCAAAATATATTTTGAGTGAGAGTGAGTGAGTATGGGATTTACGCCGCTTTTAGCAATATTCCAGCAATATCACGGCGGGGGACACCAGAAATGGGCTATATACATTGTACCCATGTCGGGAATCGAACCCGGGTCTTCGGCGTGACGAGCGAACGCTTTAACCACTAGGCTACCCGACCGCCCCTTGAGTGAAAGAGAGAATTGGGTTTAACCCCGCTTTGATTGGTTGGTTTGTTGTTTAACGCCGCACTCAGCAATATTCCAGCTATATGATAGCGGTCTGTAAATAATCGAGTCTGGACCAGACAATCCAGTGATTAATATCATGAGCATCGATCCACGCTATCGGGACCGATGAAATGTATCAACCAAGTCAGCGAGCCTGACTATCCGATCCCGTTAGTCGCCTTTTACGGCAAGTATGGGTTGCTGAAGACCTATTCTACCCCGGAATCTTCACGGGTCGTAACGCCGCTTTGAACAATAACACGCTTAATTTGGGGATGACGCAGGTCTCGAGCGTTTTCGACTCTGGTGAAACCCATGAGTACACGTATGTGCTGGCAGACCAGAAAACATAATCAACTGGATTCGAACCCACAATAACAGGTTTTTGGCGTGCCCAAGGGACGTAACTCTGAACAGCGAAACCGTCGAATGGGTGAGTGAGTGAGCTGGGTTTGATCCCCTTTGAACAGAATTCCATGTATAACATGCCGTGTCAGGTAAGGTCGAAAAGACGTAATGTACAGTTTCTCCCACGTCATATATTGGACGACGTTATTTTTTTAGAGGGAGGTGTCTTGTGAGTTGATCCCCATACATGCATCTAGGTAACGATCGCATCAAAAAGTGGGAGAGATAAGACAATCGTCTAAAGTGTAGCGCCAGCGCAGCATACCCAGAGAACCAGGCTGAGGTCGGGATTCTCTTCAGGGAGTCATCATTATTAAAATTAAGGTAACTATTTTTGGTGAGTGAGTATGATTGTACGCCGCTTTTAGTAATATTCCAGCAATATCACGGTGAGGTGAAATGGGGTTTAACGTCGCGTCCAAGATTATTGCACTAATATGGCGACGTGCATGCACGTGTGTGTGTTTGTGTGTCTGCTTGTTCTAGTCCGGAGTGATGCCGATTTATAGTGCTAGCTCACTGAGATACCATGCCACAGTCTAACATGAATACCCCACTCAGACACAGTATACTGACCCCGAGACGACCAGTCCTTGTTTTAGCCCCTTAATGCCGAGCGCCAGACAGAGTAACAACAAGTACCATCTTTTAACGTCTTTTGTTATGACGCGTTTGGGGATCGAACCCCGGACCTTCCGCTCTCAGGGCGGACGCTCTACCACTTGACCACGGAGGCGGTTCAAAGTGTTTGGGGAACACGCTCAGAACACGCTTAAAACTGTGACTATGAGCCTGTATCTGAATGAACAGACAAGATGGCGAATTGTGGGTAGGACGCCAGTACACAAAGTTCACCGAATGTTTGGCAAATCAAAAAGTGTAATCTCCCGAACGTGGGATAAGTACAGTCAAACACGTGGGATAAGTACGTCAAACACGTGGGATAAGTACCGTCAAACACGTGGGATAAGTACCGTCAAACACGTGGGATTGCAATGAGACCCGGGCGTGCCAGATCGCCTCATTACATTAATTGCACGACGCAGCAGATTAAAATCCCCTCTTGTCATCAATAAAGAATTCCGTACAATAAGAGACACATCACCCACCAGAATGGCTCAGTTTGGGTAGCTCTTATAGCAGAACGGCAAGCAATACCAAGGGCAACCAAGGGCAACCATGAGCACCATTCAACAGCATGCCATTAAGTGTTGTGCAAGTATCGCCCAACATGGAGGACACACCAGATATTGATCTACACGCCCGAAATAAATTTCTTGAATCGTCAGTACACCTTCACTTTCACTTCAGAAGTTACCTTATTTTCTGTCGGTAGGAGATGGTGTATACCTCACCTGTCCATCATTATCTATGAGCCTGTAGAGGGAAAATATCTCACCTTTCCATCATTATCTATAACAGAGTGTGGAGGGAGCATATATCTCACCTGTCCATTATTATCTACAAGAGGGAGTATACCTCACCTGTCCATCATTATCTATGAGAGACTGTAGAATGAGTATCATCTGGTCCGTGTCATCCGTCCAGTCGCCCTCCTTGAACCGTTTTCTGTGTGCTTCAGGTGATAGACACTTGTGTTCTAGTTCAAGTTGTTTTTTAACTTCGCCATATTTCTGAGTTAAAGAACGAGACACTTTGGAATCCCGAAATCAAATAATGAACATCAAATGTGAATACATCAAGATTGTAATCACATTTGTTGAAGAATTTAGACTCGAAATATCATACTTAGTTATAAACTGCTTTCGTAATGGTAAGTTCAGTTTCTTCGACAGAAATTTACGACATTAAGTAAAGAACGATTAGAGAAAAACAATTGAACAATTGAAGTTTCACCTCTTTAGCCTCCTCCTTGGTAAGGAACTCAGTGAGCAAGCCAATAGCATCTCCCACAGCCTGACCGTATAGAGTCGCCAGAATCTGATCCCGACGGTAGCCTGATTCAGTCCCTGGGGTTGAAGCCTAAACAAAAGGTATATTGTGGTACAAACAATGTCGTATTTCACATAATATGAAATATGGGTTATCAGCACTTAATTTGCCTACGTGTATAGTGACCCTGCCGTTATAAAAAATGTTGGACACTATTATGTACAGCGCTGGGGATTCGAATTCAAAATATGATTTACATGTAGAATGTTCTATAACTTGGTTTACGAATCAGATCATTGAAACTTTCATAATTGCATGTGTAATTAAATTAAAACATTTCTTCCTTCTTCCCGACTAGTTTCAATACCCCCCCCCCCCCCCCAAAAAAAAAAAACACAAAAAAACAAAAACAAACAAACAAAAAAACAACAACATAAAAACAACAGAACGGGGGTTGGAGTAGGGGTGGCGAATGGAAGAAAGCAACCGTTACATTTCCTAAAGAGTCAAACTCCTGCTCTTTCTTTCACACAATGGGTACGGGTTAACAAAAAAAATCACTTCGACGAAAGTTAACTTAAGCGCGTTATGCTGGTTTCGTGTGTACCGAAATACACAGTGCCACTGGACCCGTGAAGGTCCGGGGTAGAATAGGTCTTCTGGATCGGGTGGTCAGGCTGCTGCTGACTTGGTTGATGCATGTCATCGTATCAAAATTGCGTGGATCGATGCTCATGATATCGATCACTGGATTGTCTGGTCAAGACACGATTATTTACAGACCGCCGTCATGTAGCTGGAATATTGCCGAGTGCGGCGTTAAACAACAAACCAACTAAAACCAACCAACCACAGTGCCACTGAGATTGTAACCCAATAAAAGAGACTAAAACATAACAGTAGACTGTCGTCTGCGCTTTTTTAAAGCATTTTCACATTCCTAAATTAATTAAATATCTACATTAGCAACAAATAATATCTGCTCAAGGCGACATGCAAGAAGACCGACATGGCAGAAACACACTCACCGCCCCGGCCATTGCTATTAATAGATGTGATGCCCGGTCGTCATTACTGCACAAGCGTGATGCTTCTGTTCTCTCGCCGTTTTATTCAAGTTGGGCAGCATTTGATGCATAACCTTCCCTTATATTGTTTAAAATAATTGCTATTGAATATTGACCATTTCGACACACCTAATAGAAACAAGTCTGACATATACAACGTAGAACATTGCAAATCGGACTGTTGTATGTAATGTATGTATAACCTAAGGAAGGGAGGTAAGTCACGTGTTCATATCTGACAACCCTGCAGAAAATAGTCATTCACAATACGCCAAAAGTCATGCTCAGTTTTTTTCTCTTCAGATGAGACAGGTTCTACTCGCAATGTAATTCCTGTGCAATTGTGATTATTGTTTACCTCAATTACTATAGTTCGGTGTTGTTATCAATAAAACCTAATTGAAGTCTCCCGTTGAGACCCCTGATAAGATATAGTGTTCTAACCAATGCATCTCGCAAGAGTCGTAACAGGAACGGGCACATTCGTGACCAACTCGTGTTATTCCGGGACAAGCCGAATAGCGACTCGTGCCCCTCTCGGCATTCGTGACCAACTCGTGTTATTCCGGGACAAGCTGAATAGCGACTCGTGCCCATCTCGGGCCATTTTTGCGACCGGGTTGCGTCTTAGCGCAAACGGGCATACCTAAAACAATTGTCAACTCGTTGCGCAATGGATCACACATTTTCCCCATATATTATATATATTTCAGATGCAGTTTAAAGCACACCGGGACGTGCGGAATTATACAGTATGATTGAACACATTTAACTGTGTCTTGGTATATTTTTAGATGCAAGACATATGTAACATCAAAAAAAATATTTCTGAGGGATTCTTTGACGAAGAACTTGAAATCATACGCGCATTCTGATTGGTTTGTCGTATTTTCGCACATAACATTCATCGATAGGGGGACGAGTCTTCTTGCAGGTTACGGAAAGGGACGAGTGGTGACGAATGGAACGGGCAGTAAATCAGGATCGCTGGTCAGGATTCAATATTTTACAGGTCGGGATATTGCTGCCTGATTTTTTATCATATTTTGTCAGTTACACAACAAGATATTATATTTAAAACTATGAGCCTGAATTTAAGATAAACCCCGCAACAATGTAGATAATATCAAATGGTCGGTTCCTTATTGTTTGTTAGTTTGTTTGTTGCTTAACGCCGCACTCAGCAATATTCCAGCCGTGAATACATACGGGCGATGCATGGTGTAGTGACGCGTCTGTTTGTAGTCAAGTTTTGTTGTTGGATTGTTGTTTAACCCCCCTGGATGCCTCAGGGACATATATGTCCCTCCTCTACAACCCCCACTTTGAAGTCGAATAAAATTCAAAATACATCACCCATTTGATATGTAGTTATGTCGTTCAGATATTAGGCAGTATTTTGTTCGCTCACAGTTTCCGTAAATATTCTAATATTTGTTTTATGTGTACAAACATTTTTTCATCACTGGGCATGCCACACAAGCTGGATTAACCTCATGAGTGAGTGAGTGAGTGAGTGAGTTTGATTTAACGCCGCTTTTAGCAATATTCCAGCAATATCACGGGGGGGGGGGGGGGGGGGGGACACCAGAAATGGGCTTCACACATTGTACCCATGTCGGGAATCGAACCCGGGTCTTCGGTGTGACAAGCGAACGCTTTAACCTCTAGGCTACCCGACCGCCCCCGACATTAGATGTAAACTAATAATAAATTTGACATTGGCAAAAAATGTCACAATCAAATAGTTGAAAACCTGTTTTAAACATTACCATCTGTCATGCTCAAAATATTAAAAAAAACTTCTTAAAAGCAAAACATTACACCAAATCTGACAACAAGGCTGTGAGTTCCCCTTTTCTGTTAACTTATATTCAGGCTACATCTATACGTATTCAAACCAGTGTCTCTTTCCACAAGGCGATCTTTGCGCTGGGATCGTCATAGGATAACGGTGAGGTGAAATGGGGTTTAACGTCGCGTCCAAGATTATTGCACTTATATAGCGACGTGCATGTACGTGTGTGTGTGTGTGTGTGTGTGTGTGTGGCTGCTTGTACTAGTCCGGACTGATGCCGATTTATAGTGCTAGCTCACGTATATACCATGCCGCAGTTTAACATGAATACCCCACTCAGACACAGTATACTGACTCCAAGCCGACCAGTCCTTGTTTTAGCCCTTTAATGCCGAGCGCCAGACAGGGTAACAACAAGTACCATCTTTTAACGTCTTTTGGTATGACGCGGCCGGGGATCGAACCCCGGACCTTCCACTCTCCGGGCGGACGCTCTACCACTAGACCACGGAGGCGGTCTTCATAGGATTACGGCAGTCATCGCTTTGTGGAACAGGAGGCAGGAGGGACAGGAGGCAGGATCAGACAAACTAGTTGTTGACATTATGAATGTAAAGTGTCAACAGCAGAGAAAAGTCTCGACTGTCCGCCAAATCAGATTCCATTGAGCGTAAAAGGCATAATAGCGGTGAAAAGGATATGAATGGATTATTGAAAATCAGTCAGGAACTACTCCCATGACTTCGAAGTCCGATGGACGCCATCAGTCAACCATAAGAGGTGAGGTGAAATGGGGTTTAACGTCGCGTCCAAGATTATTGCACTTATATAGCGACGTGCATGTACGTGTATGTTTGTGTGGCTGCTTGTACTAGTCCGGACTGATGCCGATTTATAGTGCTAGCTCACTGAGATACCATGCCGCAGTCTAACATGAATACCCCACTCAGACACAGTATACTGACTCCGAGCCGACCAGTCCTTGTTTTAGCCCCTTAATGCCGAGCGCCAGACAGGGTAACAACAAGTACCATCTTTTAAAGTCTTTTGGTATGACGCGGCCGGGGATCGAACCCCGGACCTTCCGCTCTCCGGGCGGACGCTCTACCACTGGACCACGGAGGCGGTCTCAACCATAAGACATAAGAGAGACATAAGACTTTAATTCTGTTCTTGGAGCACAGTGTCCCCTGGTACAATAGGCGTAACATTTTCTTGGCATGGTGAGAGGTTACACCATTTAGACACAAGGTGTCTGTAAGTCACAGAAATAAATAAGTTTGAGCAATAATCACATACTGTACGGTATTATGGTATGGGTTGAGTCTACATAAATGTTGCATGCTTAAACAGATGTAATAAATAATTAGCAGTTCGGTTAAAAGAACTGCCATTGTTTAGCAATTCAACCAAACCACGGATTTTGACCACCTAATCTCATTTTGTCACCACCAGCACTGGAGTGTTCGGGACATGTTATAACCCCGGGCCCCAGGGGTTGTAATATATGAATCATTTCTGACATAAACACTTTTTGAGTGATGTTACACACATTTTTTAGCAGGATCGATTGAAACACGTGGTCAATTCTTCACGGGCTCGACCATCCTATGGTCCTCTATCACAGTTTTGCAGTGCCGTCGCTATTTTCACACAGCGAATCAAAGGGAAACCAGCGGATACTGTGTCCAATCAGCGCTCACATTACAAACAGCAATATTTCACGTGCAACATGTGCTACAGCCATGCGGCCATCTTGCTTCAATATCAGGCAAAGGAAGAGTTCGCCTACAATGAGTAGAGCTCATTTCACTTCCTTAAATTATACATGACCTCATTCATTACTTGACTTCAAGACCTTCAGCAACCCGTAAAAGGCGACTATGCTTGTAGTAAGAGGCGACTAACGGGATCGGGTGGTCAGGCTCGCTGACTTGGTTGGTGCATGTCATTGATCCCGATTGCGTTGATCGATGGCAATGATGTCAATCACTGGATTGTCTGGTCCAGACTCGATTATTTACAGACCGCCGTCATATAGATTGAATCTTGCTGAGTGCGGCTTTTAACATCAAACAAACAAACAAACAAACAAAACTTGACATAAAACAGACGCGTCAGTATGCCACACATCGCCCGTATGTATTTACGGGTTATGCAGGAACGCAGTGAATACAAACCCGTGTACTAATGGCGAGGGAAACAATATATATGGCAGTGGTGAAAATGATGCAAAGATGCTGCACTGCACAATGCAACGAATAGCGAAAAACTAAGTAAATACAACACGGCAGTGCCAGAGAATGAATGAATGTGCACTCATGTCAAGTGGATAAATTTGCTCAAGGAACTCAAACATGGGTGAGCTTCAGAATGCCAGTTATATCACGTCTGGGAGGCACCAGGAATGAGACTCACACATTTCACCTACCTGTATAGGTACATCAAACCCGGTCTGACGACCCGCCACTACTCTCCTCTACCGCTGGTAATATCTATGGACTGTGCACAAGAATATGCTATGCCATTTACATTAATATGCATCATATACAACTGCAAAAACTACACATCTACTGCGAAACTGTAAATAAAGATTGATGACACAGCACTTCCTTCGTCCAACAAACGTATTGACTAAACAGAAAAGAATTTCCACTTTAGCAAACAGATGTTTCAACCCAGGAAACTGAAATGTTCAGATAAATATACGAACAATATTATACACGTCTTATATCCACAGTACATAATTATAATTAGACTGAGGGAAACTTGATATATTCAAAGATTTCCCCACTGGGAAGATCAGGTTAGCACAAAAACGAGTGAGTGAACTGGTTTTTACTCTGCTCTGAACAGTATTACAGTTAGTATCACAGCGTTAGCATAAAACGAAATATCAACACATATCAAATTCGTGATTCTCAGAGTGAACATGCAGATCAAATTTGATAACGTGTGTTTTTATACGATATTAATTTGTCCATAAGTTGATGACAGGACTGACATTTACAAGTGTCATGATCTTCGTGTGTTAACCTTCTTGGTCCTGACTTGGTTGATCAGCAGCTTCTGGAGATGTTGTTGTTTTGCCGTCTTTCATTCGCACCAAAATGTTTAGAAATCTGCAATTTCAAAGCAAACATGTTGCAGAGATATAGAGAATCTCACCCGACTGTCTTTTGATATCAAATATATCGACACGAGTTGATAAAAGTGGGAAAACTCCGAGGCTTGCCGAGGATTTTTTCCACTTTTATCAACGAGTGTTGATATATTTGATATCAAAAGACATGAGGGTGAGATTTTATTTATCATCCAATATCATTCTTCCAACTTTTCAGTTTGTAGACAGTTATAAGCAATGTCTTAAGTGTAAAAAGTACTGCTAACAGCTTCAGTAGCAGGGCCATTAGTGATGTCATTTGATTGTGACGTCATGGTAACCAATGAAGTCACAATGGTCTGCAAAGCATTGTGATGCAATTTCATTGCAGCGATATCTACAGTGTAGATATCGCTTGACCTCACCCAAGCGATATCTCCTGTGGGAGCAGGGGGGCACGGGTGGCCCAGTCGTCTAAGGCGCCGCGATTCGCTGTGCAGAGTTGCGTCCCTTGGGCACGCCAGAAACCTATGATTGTAGGTTCGAATCCCGGTTCGCCCCGATTATGTTTCTAGGTTTGTCAGCACCATACCCGTGCTCGTGGGTTTCACCGAAGTGGTAAACGTCTGGGACCTGCATCACTTCGAGCTTTCCTCCCACATTAAGCTGACACGCCGCGATATAACTGGAATACTGTTAAAAGCGGCGTTAAACCCAACTCACTCACTCACTCACTCCTGTGGGAGCAACTTTTGGATGATAAATGTTCTGCACATGCACATAAACTTCGGGACTTTTATAAAGATGTTCACATTTCAAGTTCTTTGATCATGAGTGGCTTTTGATGTTGATGTGATAAACAAAGGCAGTTTTTTTTGTGGATACACAAGTCGTAATTACCGTTGAGGCGACGTTTCGGTGTAGACTCAGACATCTGTATCACTTGCTTCAATATTGTTGTTCAATGGCATCATGGTGACGCTTTATATCTAATGTCCTTACCTTTCAATTTTTTCATCCAGCCAATCCTTGTGCTTGAGCTTGGACACCCATGACACCGGAAGTGCAGACATTCCTAACTTACAAGCCAGGAGAGCTCCGGCTACAGCACCATTGGTGTCAGCATCACCCCCCTTTAGAGACAGAACATTTGTATTAAAAAACAATAAATACGTTCAGATGTGTAGAATACACTTAATGCACTTAAATAATATGAGCATTCAAAGGAAAGTACTATTATGTCCACAACAAACCTCCATAACAATTGTCTGCAGTGCCTTCCTGAAGTCCTTCTGTTTCAGTGCCCAGAACCCGCAGCCCAGGCACTTGTAGGTGTAGCCGATCTTTCCCAACTCACATAGTTTCAGGTCTTGTATCTTCCCACACTGTAGGTACTTCTTCAGCTCTTTTTTCTGGGTGTGATAAAATAGACCGAACTGTTACAGTCTCATTAAAATCAGATCTTAGTGTTCCCTACTGCTAAACAAAGATCGGAGGACACCCCAATGAAGGTCACGCCAGAATGACGTTTCACTAACTTTGACCAACCAATGAAATGGCTGACACGAAGTAGACATTAACAAATCAATAAGTAGCTTTCTCAAGCTCTACGGCAAAATTTTCAAACTGGCTAGTTCCAGTGCTTACGACACTTTGAAAAATATCGATTCAAAATTTGAAAACTGAGCAAAGAACATTCTGGAATGTCTGATAGCTGGCCTAGATTGTCATGGCAGTGCTAAACACGGGGTATGTAAAGTCTCTTCTGTTTCACATTTCTATCCCATTGAAGCAAGAGATTGACGATCATTTTGACCGAATCAGGTCGTATAGCTTGTAAATATCGTTCCGAATACCCGTTGTTAACCTTTTCCACGTTGAACGAATAGAAAGCACATTCCGAGTGCCACTATCCAGATCTGACAAGCGACGCTCTGATTAGTCGGATGGAAGTACGTTCTGCCGTGACCCGAAATGGGACGTCCTCAGGTCTTTCTTAGCGATAGTGAGAACTAAAATCTGATTTTAATGAGATTTAACAGACAGACAGACAGACAGTTTATTCAGTATTTTAGGCATCAAGGCCCATAGTACATTGTCACGTGATGTACATGATCAGATTTTAAATCAAGTTACACATTCCTCATTTTAAAGACATGTTTTACGAATACAGAAACAGCATGGATCATATCAGGATTTTCAGAGTTTAGCAGATTTATCATTAACTTTAACTTTAAAAGTACCTTGCAACATGGGGAGAAATTTATACAATAAATGGGAATACGTTTCACATGTAAGTAAGACATAATATTCATCCTCTACTTCTCCGGATGAACAGTTTGTACAAATAGAGTTCATAATATCACCGTCTTTGGACCTGCGACATATATTTACATTAAAATTATGCAATGAAATTCTAAGTTTACAATAAGCTCTGATTAAACTTTTATCATTTAAACAAGTTAAATATCTTTCAATTTGTAACGATGATTTTACTTTGCTGTAATTGCTGAGATAAAGTGATTCAGAAATACTTTGGTGCCACTGTTGACTAAATATATCCTTTAGTCTTTGCTTAAATGAATATAAAAATAACTGTGGATCTCCCACATCTTGAGAAATCCATACCCATGAAAAGCCACTAACTATAATAATGAGATTTGAACTGTTATTGATGGAATATCACGCACGCACGCACGTATGATTTACATAAAAACGTGTACGTTGTTCGTTTTGATTTGAGATATCCTTATATGCCTTTTGTTTGTTAGAAATGGCAACTAAATTATTTTCAATAATTGGTCTTTGTTTTATGTCATAGGCAATGACTACAAGCCACAAGTACATGTTCAACAATGATATGTACAAATGTTGTTGAGATGCACAGGTTTCTTAATATATGACCAATAGGAAATTATGGTCAGTAAGTCTATGACATAGTGAGTGAATGTTATTTCACGCCGCAGTCTGTAATATTCCAGTGAAATGTCAGCGGTCTGGAGATAATCGAGTCTGGGTCAGTCAAAGTTGTGATTGATATTATGAGCGACGTCCCACGCAATCAACACTGTCACCGACCAACCGATCCTCTCTATGTGGTTCTTTCTAAACACATGGAACAATGTGGATATATCTTTCCCGGAATCCACAGTGGGTCAGCAATTATAGACGACTTAATGTATTGGGTGTCTGTGATCGGTGTCTTAATTGCATTGCCGTTGCTCCCTTGGTCGCGCCAGAAAACTATGATTGTGGGTTCGAATCCCGGTTCGCCACGATTATGTTTCTAGGTTTGTCAGCGCCATACCGTGCTCGTGGGTTTCACCGAAGTTATAATCGTCTGAGACCTGCATCACTTCGGGCTTTCCTCCCACATTAAGCTGACATGCCGTGACATAACTGTAATACTTTTAAAAGCGGCGTTAAATCACTTAAATCACTAAAAACTCACTCACTCACTCAATCGCATTTCATCGTACCGTAACAGCGTGGATCGTTGTTCATAATATCACCCAAAGGATATTGCAACGAACATAATGGAGCTATAGCTATTGATTGGTCACAATGAAGACTGAAACAACTTGTTATCACCTGCTCATCTGTCTCTAGACACTTGGAAGACGCCACCTGGAAGCACTCCTGTATAATCTTGTCTATGTCATAGCTGCCGTTCTTCTTGATGTGCTGAGCCTGCCTCCTCAACATCAGACTGATGGCGACTGACACCGCCACTGTCGAGGCCTGACACCTACAACGAAATGTAGATCTCAGTATTCAAGTACACCTCGTTAATGTGTCAGACAATTTCAACCTGCCGATTAAAACCACCACCAATCGGTCTCTTCTAAGAGGGATGGCTTGAAAGCAGTCATAATGTCCTTACTTTGAGTAGGCATGTAGTATATTACTGTCTATATTTAAAAAATTAAAAAAGTATGTCGTATCTTGGGATAAACTTCTTTGTGGAAATGAACAAGTATGGATTAACGCCGTCTCAGCAATATACAGTGATATCACAGGAGGGAAACCAACTTGGCCTTCCGGCCCGAACAACCAACGCTTAAACCGTTAACCTAACCACACATATCTTTGACAAGTTGTGATTCTATGAGTATCACGATTCATCACCTATTCATAACCTCAGGGAACAAAACATGGGAAGCTATTGACTTGTGATCCTAATTGCACTTTATGAAAGTAGCATTCAGTTACTGATCACGGCAGGTGACACAGCTGAGCTTCACACAATGTACCCATGTGGGGAATCGAACCAGGGTTTCCGGCTAGACGAACCAATGCTTTAACACTTACGCTACCTCACCACACTTATTTATGAAACGTTGTGAGTCTGTGGGCATCATCACTCATCATTTGTTGTACTTAGCAATGTTCAGTGGTGAGGTGAAATGGGGTTAAACGTCGCGTCCAAGAATATTGCACCTATATAGCGACTGCATGTACGTCTGTGTGTTTGTGTGGCTGCTTGTACTAGTCCGGACTGATGCCGATTTATAGTGCTAGCTCACTGAGATACCATGCCACAGTTTAACATGAATACCCCACTCAGACACAGAATACTGACTCCGAGCCGACCAGTCCTTGTTTTAGCCCCTTAATGCCGAGCGCCAGACAGGGTAACAACACGTACCATCTTTTAACGTCTTTTGATATGACGCGGCCGGGATCGAAGCCCGGACCTTTCGCTCTCCGGGCGGACGCTCTACCACTGGACCACGGAGGCGGTCCAATGTTCAGAGACATCATACGGGGGACACAACTGGGCTTCACACTTGGTACCCAGATGGGGGGAGTTGAACCAGGGTTTCCGGCTATCAAACTACTCTTCTCTATGAATAGTTGTGTTATCATAAACAAAACTTCAGAAGCCTTATCTACTGTGATCCCAATTGTGAATGTGTCAGTGGAATCTTCAATGTATACCTATGCCACGACGACATGTAGAATTCTCGATTCGGGCATTGATTAATGAATCAACCCGTGACGATCCCGTGTAGAATAGGTCTTCAGCATATTATGCTTGCCATATAAAGCGACTATGCATGTCGTAAGAGGCGACTAACGGGATCGGGTTGTCAGACTCGCTGACTTGGTTGGTGCATGTCATCGTATTCCAAATGCATGGATCAATGTCATGATACCAATCACTGGATTGTCTGGTCCAGACTCGATTATTTACAGACTGCTGTCATATAGCTGGAATATGGCAGAGTGCGGCGTTAAACAACAAACAAACAAACAAAACTTAACATTAAACAGACGCGTCAGTACGCCACACATCGCCCGTATGTATTCACGGATTATGCAGGAACGCAGTGAATACAAACCCGTGTACTGATGCCGTCATATAGCTGGAATATGGCTGAGTGCGGCGTTAAGCAACAAACAAACAAACAAAACCTAATGAATCTAGTATACTACTTTCTGTAGCTTACCGTCACTGTCATGGAAAACGTTATTTTAAATATGCTATTAAGCGTACTGACCTGGGGTCGTGATGGCTCGTCTTACATACGGCAATGGCATTATCAGCCACGGCGTCAGTGTCCCAGTACTGGTGTATCCCTAGAATTGACGTCCTCATGACGGCGCCATTAGGGGCGATATTTCTACGGTTCACTTCCCAAACATCAAACGCTGCCTAAAACAGGACAATATTATCAAATGTCAGTCATACATTCGTTCAATCCAATTATTTTATTCATAAAGTAATGTGGGCCAACGGCCTATAATTACAATAATCGTCACACATGAGGAGTAAGGCGTTTAGTTTGAACAATGAATCTACATCAACAAGTTGTGTGCAACATCAACATTTGTGAATGATATTAACATTTGAAATTAATGTATTGACGGTAGTTTATAGTACTTTTCCCGGGGTAGAATAGGTCTTCAGCAACCCATGCTTGCCGTAAAAGGCGACTTTGCTTGTCGTAAGAGGCGACTAACGGGATCGGGTGGTCAGGCTCGCTGACTTGGTTGATGCATGTCATTGTATCCCAATTGCGTGGATCGATTATTTACAGACCGCCGTCATATAGCTGGAATATTGCTGAGTGTGGCGTTAAACAACAAACAAACAACAAGATATTTGTTTCTGATTTCACAATAGTATTCACATACAAGTAAAAAATCATATTCATTTTCGACACAATATTTGTCACAAAATATAGCATAATAAATCCGTTGTTCTGTTGGTTCTTTACAGTAACGCCCCGTTTCAATTCTGAGTTCATGTGACCCACCCCCGTGAAGATCCGGGGTAGAATAGGTCTTCAGCAACCCATGCTTGCCGTAAAAGGGGACTATGCTTGTCGTAAAAGGCGACTAACGGGATCGGGTGGTCAGGCTCGCCGACTTGGTTGAAGCATGTCATCGATCCCAATTGCGTGGATCGATGCTCATGATCTTAATCACTGGATTGTCTGGTCCAGACTCGATTATTTACAGACCGCCGTCATCTAGCTGGAATATTGCTGAGTGCGGCGTTAAACAACAAATCATGTGACCCACATCTAAATCGAGATAAAGAAATTCATAACTTGTTAATTGTTATGCAGCTGAAATATAATTCACGTCCAAATGAAGGTTTAAACAGTGAACATAAGCTTCTTTTAGAACTTTCAAACATATAAAAGAAAGCCCATATTGTTCATCACAATGTCTTAATCTCGACACAAACTCAGCAAGAAACAAAGGGACATTATCAATAGGCTGATATTCCAACATACAAATTGTATCCAGTCGAGCAATTAAATGATTTGATCATAGTTATAGTTGGTAAGGTGATAAGTTCATTTGACATGCGCCATTCCATTCACATGTTCATTGCTTGTGACGCTACGCGAAAGTGTCACTGGTGGTACTTTCGAAATAGTCAAGTCTTAGGGACTTGTATGAAAGCTGACAGGGAAGAAGAGTGTCAGTTCGATAACTCGTTCCATAGATAGTTTGTTTTTTGTACAACGTCACACTTAACAATACTGTTCCAAAGATTCCAGTTACAGGACGCCGGCCTGTTAAAATCGGGAATGGACCAGACAATCCAGAGATTGATATTACGGTCAACGATTCACGACATCGGGGTACGCTGACACGGTCTTCGTGCATCACGCACAGGTTGCTGGGGACCTATTCTAACCCGGAATTTGCACGGGGATCGATCTACATTGCGACTGCAGCAAAAGAAACCTTACATACGACCGCCTGTAAAAAGAGGAATAAGATATCCTACAATACGACCCCCTGTGAAAAGAGGAATAAGATATCTACAATACGACCGCCTGTGAAAAGAGGAATAAGATATCTACAATACGACCGCCTGTGAAAAGAGGAATAAGATTTCCTACAATACGACCGCCTGTAAAAAGAGAAATAAGATATCCTACAATACGACCGCCTGTGAAAAGAGGAATAAGATATCTACAATACGACCGCCTGTGAAAAGAGAAATAAGATATCCTACAATACGACCGCCTGTAAAAAGAGGAATAAGATATCCTACAATACGACCGCCTGTAAAAAGAGGAATAAGATATCCTACAATACGACCGCCTGTAAAAAGAGGAATAAGATATCCTACAATACGACCGCCTGTAAAAAGAGGAAATAGATATCTTCAATACGACCGCCTGTAAAAAGAGGAATAAGATATCCTACAATACGACCGCCTGTAAAAGAGGAATATGATATCCTACACTACGATCGCCTGTAAAAAGAGGAATTAGATATCCTACACTACGATCGCCTGTAAAAAGAGAGATAAGATATCCTACAATACGACCGTCTGTAAAAAGAGGAATAAGATATCCTACAATACGACCGCCTGTAAAAAGAGGAATAAGGAAGCCGCCCGCTCTCATCACATACCTTATGTGCCTCTTGGGGGTACTCGGGGTGAGACAGGACTGCCTTGGTGGTTCTCCCAAGTCCTATGCCCCTCTCATCATTCAGTTCAGGAAAACCTTTCTTTGACCAAGTCTTTAACTTCCCACCAAAATCCGCAGGTATCACCTGAATAAGGAAATAAATATTATTAGTTATGGAGTCTTTAGTTGCCGTATAGGTGTCATATTAGGTTAGCAGAAAAATATTGGGCGAGGCGTCAGCCGTACACGGCAACTAAAGACACAATAACGAATTTATTATGCCGAAAAGGTTACGCTATTTGGTATTTTTGTCGCACATGTCATGTCAAAACTTAAAACTCAAAACTTAACACTTACAACCTAAGACTAATCTTCAAATATCAGAGGACAAACCTTGTTGATAATTTTAACTTTATATAATCTTATTAAAGTCACGAACGTGATCCAAAAAACATGAACGTCCTTGCACATCAACATTAATTATATTAAAACACAAAACAGTGTCAAATAACGAATTTCTGTACCAGAATTTTTATGTGAAATTTGTGAGGTGGATGTTGAAAAATCCAAGATGGCTGTTACTGACGGTATACGGGCTTATGTGGGGTCAGTAGTTCTGCTCTCTGATTGGTCAAAATCTCACTTTGAGGCATAATAAAAATTCGGGTAGCCTAGTGGTTAAAGCGTTAGCTCGTCACCCCGAAGACCCGGGTTCGATTCCCCACATGGGTACAATGTGTGAAGCCAATTTCTGGTGTCACCCGCCGTGATATTGCTGGAATATTGTTAAAAGCGGCGTAAAACCGAACTCACTCACTCACTCACTCTACAAGAGGTAGTATACCTCACCTGTCCATCATTATCTATCAGAAACTGTAGAGGGAAAATCTCTCACCTGTCTATCATTATCTATAACAGAGTGTTGAGGGAGTATGTATCTCACCTGTCCAGTATTATCTACAAGAGGGAATATATCTCACCTGTCGATCATTATCTATAAGAGAGTGTTGAGGGAGTATATACCTCACCTGTCCATCATTATCTATAACAGCGTGTTGAGGGAGTATGTATCTCACCTGTCCATCATTATCTATAAGAGAGTGTTGAGGAAGTATATACCTCACCTGTCCATCATTATCTATAACAGCGTGTTGAGGGAGTATGTATCTCACCTGTCCATCATTACCTATAACAGAGTGTTGAGGGAGTATATAACTTTACAAGAGGGAGTATACCTCACTTGTCCATCATTATCTATAAGAGACTGTAGAATGAGTATCATCTGGTCCGTGTCATCCGTCCAGTCGCCCTCCTCCCACGACTTCCTGTGCGAGTCTACACACAGATCCTTGTGCTCCAACTCCAGCTGTTTCTTCACCTTGCCGAAGTGCTGAAAGTAAAAAAAAACCATGTAACACGAATGCTGCTTTTCCACACAGAGCACGAATCGCCACGATTTGTAAATTTTAGGATTCGTGGAATTTAGCAAATATTCTGGTTCAATTCGTGACGCTCTACGATCTAGTTACGATGCAGGTACGATAGAGTTACGAATATTCATGGGATTCGTCTGGAATTGCATGAGTATTGTAAAGAATTCACTACTATCAATATTAATTTCCTTATATACCCAATTTGCCGACAATCGTAGCTGATTCGTGATTGGATCGCACCTGCTTCGGCGTGTATGCGTGGGATTCGTGACAGATTCGTAGCCGATTCGTCGTAAAGCCACGAATTCACGAATCCCCGAATGAGTTAAGAATACCTACGAATGCCTACGAATCGATTACGATTCAGTTCCGATGCCTAAGAATGCATTACGAATTTGTTACGAATTAACTACGACATTTTTTAATCGGGAGTTCGTGGCCAAAACTTTGAACAGCTCAAAACTTTTGCCACGAATTCCGGATAGCTCAAGAATTGTAAGAACTAACTACGAATATATGCGAATCAGTTAAGAATTTCACGGACTGATTACGATTCAACTACGAATCCTAAAATTTATCAATTCGTGGGATTCGTGGTCTCTGTGGAATAGTAACATTAATGAATCCACTGAAGACAGTATCAACCTATAAACGCAAGAGGGATGACAGGGATATCCGACTTCAATAGTCAGCTACAGCAACCAGTAGTTCATTTGTGGATAAAAGCCAAGACGATGGCTCATATTTTCTCATTTAGAGGGATACACAACCACTTCAGACATGACCATTATTCTCAACGCACAAATATGTCGTTGAGCCTACAACTACAACTCAATACATAGGTAACTCGTCACTGTTACAGAGCCTTTAACTATGACAATGAGATTGCCATTAGAGTGAGTGAGTGAGTTGGGTTTAACGCCGCTTTTAACAGTATTCCAGTTATATCGCGGCGTGTCAGCTTTATGTGGGAGGAAAGCTCGAAGTGATGCAGGTCTCAGACGTTTACCACTTCGGTGAAATCCACGATCATGGGTATGGTGCTGACAAACCTAGAAACATAATCGGGGCGAACCGGGATTCGAACCCACAATCATAGGTTTCTGGCGTGCCCAAGGGACGCAACTCTGCACAGCGAATCGCGGCGCCCTAGACGACTGGGCCACCCATTCCCCTGATTGCCATTAGACGACAGGGGACTTTTACATGTAAGGACTGTGTTTCACGGTTTAAAGTAAAATAGAGAAGGTGCGTTCAGGTTAATTATGAAGGTTCGATGGACAAGACCTTCCCCGTTCATTAGTTAGAGGCAGTACAATATCACCGACGGGTACAATGTGTGAAACCCATTTCTGGTGTCCCAAGCGTAATATTGCTGAATTATTGGTTGGTTGGTTGGTTGGTTGGCTGGTTGGTTGTTTAACGCCGCATTCAGCAATATTCCAGCTATATGACGGCGGTCTGTAAATAATCGAGTCTGGACCAGACAATCCAGTGATCAATATCGTGAACAGCGAGCCTGACCATCCGATCCCGTTAGTCGCCTTTTACGACAAGAATAGTCGCCTTTTTGGCAAGTATGGGTTGCTGAAGACCTATTCTGTGTCGCTGGATTATTGCGAAAAGCGGCGAAAAACCATACTCACTCACTCATTCCAAACTGTGTACCTAGTGTTTATTTACTATTTAAACAATTTTGTTGGACGAACTACATATATATGCGGAGGCGATTGTTATGTACAGTAAACTACGGTTATAGCGAACTCAAATTCTAGTTCGTTATAACCGTAGTTCGTTATGAGCATATATACAGCATATATACAGCAAATGACAGAGACCTAAAAACCAGTTCGTTATATCCGCCACTTCGTTATAAGCATGTTCGTTATAACCGTAGTTTACTGTATATAGTTTACAGCGACTTAATACAATATCAAAACGCTATTTCTGCCCGCGGTATCAATGCGGGTAAGAGAATACAGTAAACTACGGTTATAGCGAACTCAAAGGGACCACAAATTTGAGTTCGTTATAGCCGTAATTCGTTATAAGCATATATACAGCATCTATATAGCAAATGGCAGGGACCTCAAAACCAGTTCGTTATATCCGCCAGTTCGTTATAATCGTGTTCGTTATAACCGTAGTTTACTGTATTGAGAAAAAGTTGAAGCGGCTGCTAAATGAAGCAGATCAGTACTCACCTCCTTTGCCTCCTGTTTTGTGAGAAACTCTGTCAACAGCCCAATAGCATCCCCCACAGCCTGACCGTATAGCGTCGCTAGGATCTGTTCCCGGGGGTAGCCTTCTGTAGCCTCGGGGATGGGTTCCTGTAATACATTAACGTCAATTCCGTTACAATGAATAAATGGGTGGGGCCCATACAGAAAGTGTATCTCCCGTAGGACCGTAAAAGACATTTAAATTAAAATATTTTCTGAGACGCCATATGTTGTCTACATGTCTACAAGGCGTAGTACGTTGACATTCGTTCCTAAGATTTGTGGACATGTCTTATTTCGTGATTGGAGGGTAGAGTTCTGTTCAATATATCGACGTTGTACATGAAAGTAAAGTTGAGTTGTTTTTATGTAGTCGAGACGAGACGAGATTTCATTTGAAATATTTCGGCCAGGGCTGTGACGAGTCCAAATCTATTACCCGGGTACCCACCCCCTTATTACCCGACCCTACCCGGGTACCCACTGTAGGTCTCAAGAGATGTCCGATTGGGAATTTATTTTAACAACAGCACTTGCAAAACGTATTTAGATAAATGTATTAAACGATCTGGTCATGCATACGCTGAAGTTGACTTAAGTTAAATCTTTATTCAACTATACAAAAAATCAGAAGGAATGGGTGCATAGTCAGAAAGAAATGCGAACATTAGTGACTTGTAGTGTTACCATAGAGTTCTAGAAAAGTTTTGTTATGAAAATATATTTCAAATGACTGACCACGAGTCCGGGTAGTCCTGTGGGTACCCGGGTCCTACTCAGTACCCACCCGACCCGGGTACCCGAGTTACCCGTCCCAGCCCTAATTTCGGCGTCTCGAAATTTGATTTAAAACATTCGACATAAAATCCAATTTCATAAAGGTACGTTACCCAGACAAGCACATTAGGGCATCTTATTATCAATGCATTTAGAGAAAATATTAAGTTATGTCTAATTACAAACGTTATTCCTGCACCATGACAGTGGAACGTATGTATTTTAGGAAAACAAAACCAGATTAAGGTTCAATCAAAATTATATCAAAGCAATTGTAGCCAAATCAGCATCAGGAAAAAATGTTAGACGAAAGTAAGTGAGTTGGGTTTAACGCCGTTTTTAACAGTATTCCAGTTATATCACGGCGTGTCAGCTTAATGTGGGAGGAAAGCCCTAAGTGATGCAGGTCTCAGACGTTTACCACTTCGGTGAAACCCACGAGCACGGGTATGGTGCTGACAAACCTAGAAACATAATCGGAGCGAACCGAAATTCGAACCAAAATCGACCCGTGAATATCCGGGTAGAATAGGTCTTCAGCAACCCACGCTTGCCGTAAAATTTGTTAAACCCAACTCACTCACTCACTCACGCGTGCCGGCAGTAACTTCAAGTTGGTGCCTCTTGTGTACGTCAAGGTCTTGAAGAAACTTTTAGAGCTTCTGCCAAACAATCCACAATTAAGTGAAGACCATCATCTTGACAAGACAATGACTAAATCACATGCAACATAACATAATAAAGCGTGTAAATAAAGCACATATACTACTACATAAATTGTTCTTATCGTTATTAAGAAGGTGCCGTTTTCGCCTGACAAATAGTAGCCGTTTTCGCCAAATGAGGTGTCGTTTTCGCCCGAGAAATCGATAGCGTTTTGCTGACGTGCCGTTTTAGCCTGCACCCCAATAACTCCGGATAAAATATTACAGGTCTTGCAGCTCGTTGGTTATTCTCTCAATATATCATTTAAAAATCAGGCAGATCATTACAAAATACTTACCGACTCGGCCATGTTTGTTGCCGACTTCCTAACTAACCGTCGTATGACGATCTGCCAGCGTGGAGCTTATTTATACTAAGTTACTAAAACTTCCTCGTTTCACTCCCGCGCATACATTTGTCATGGCGTCAACATCGGAGTTCTCCTTCAATGTTAACCATTCCTACATTTGCCGCAACATATACAGAGTCAATGTATATACGATGATACACTACACACTCGACCCAGGGTTAATACTGAAAATGGCGAATAACAAACAAGACATATCCGATGATTGTTCGTCAAAGGGAGATAACTGTGACCCTCCAATGTGAATGCGCAAGTGCTCAGTTTTGAACATTGTGAATACACGTATTGGTTCGAAACAACCCTTGTTGAGACTCAAAATACTTTTGACATTTACATCATTCACTTTTTATAAACATCTTTGAAAAACAACAATATCATATAATGCGAATCAAGAAGTGGAAGTAAACAATGATTGACGCTAAATTATCATATAATCACTTTTCACGGATGCATTTTGTCTGAATAGAAATATTTAATGTTATTAATCGACACCATACTCAGTATTTGGGCAATAAAAAATATTACAGGTCTTGCAGCTCGTTGGTTATTCTCTCAATATATCATATATCAATCAGGCAGATCATTACAAAATACTTACCGACTCGGCCATGTTTGTAGCTGACTTCCTAACTAACCGTCTTATGACGATCTGCCAGCGTGGAGCTTATTTATACTAAGTTACTAAAAATAGAACTTCCTCGTTTCACTCCTGCGCATACATTTGTCATGGCGTCAACATCGGAGTTCTCCTTCAATGTTAACCATTCTACATTTGCCGCAACATATACAGAGTCAATGTATATACGATGATACACTACACACTCGACGCAGGGTTAATACTGAAAATGGCGAATAACAAACAAGACATATCCGATGATGATTGTTCGTCAAAGGGAGATAACTGTGACCCTCCAATGTGAATGCGCAAGTGCTCAGTTTTGAACATTGTGAATGCACGTATAGGTTCGAAACAAGCCGTTGTTGAGACTCAAAATACTTTTGACATTTACATAATTCATCTTTGAAAAACAACAATATCATATAATGCGAATCAAGAAGTGGAAGTAAACAATAATTGACGCTTAATTATCATATCATCACTTTTCACGGATGCATTTTGTCTAATTAGAAATATTTAATGTTATTAATCGACGCCATACTCAGCATTTGGGCAAATAAAAAATATACTGTTTTCATTTGGATTTGAATCTGCTTGGATTTTCCAAGATCAAAGGATACATCGGCACACGAGCGATACACATAATTCCATGAACGCAAAGCATAAGTGGTTTGGTGCCATGATTGTCGCATAGTTATTATACAGATTGTTTGTTTGTTGTTTAACGCCGCACTCAGCAATGTTCCAGCTATATGACGGCGGTCTGTAAATAATCGAGTCTGGACCAGACAATCCAGTGAATGACATCACGAGCATCGATCCACGCAATTGGGATCGATGACATGCATCAACCAAGTCAGCGAGCCTGACCACTCGATCCCGTTAGTCGCCTTTTACGACAAGCATAGTCGCCTTTAACGGCAAGCATGGGTTGCTGAAGACCTATTTTACCCCGGAATCTTCACGGGTCCCAACAGATGATTGACGCTCATGATCATCAATATAGTCTCTTCCTCATCGGTAAGTCTGTTGTGAGTTATCGCAGTGATGTGGTTCGATTAACAGCTGCGTAAGTACCGCGATTTAAGCTATTATTGCAGATATCGACCCACACCCGTGTATATCCTGGTGTCCATTTTGCATGCCGATTGTAGAAACTCCGATGACGTAGTCCCAATCTATTGATGCTTGTCGCCCGGCCTACCTGATGGAATACTACGACCTCGTCGAGTACAGATGCATCGTGATGCAGCTTCAGTATATGTGTGAATACGTGAGTGACTGATTTCAATCAATCTTTGTATCAAGTTGATGGGGGCTCCCGGGCCATAACATAAGTTATACATGACATATGAATGGTCCATATTCGAAGCCGAATATCGCTGTGCAGAGTTGCGTCCCTTAGGCAGGCCAGAAACTTATGATTGTGGGTTCGAATCCCGGTTCGCCCCGATTATGTTTCTAGGTTTGTCAGCACCATACCCGTGCTCGTGGGTTTCACCGAAGTGGTAAACGTCTGAGACCTGCATCACTTCGGGCTTTCCTCCCACATTAAGCTGACACGCCACGATATAACTGGAATACTGTTAAAAGCGGCGTTAAACCAAACTCACTCACACTCGAAGCCGTAGTGTATAAACGTTTACGTTCACGTGTTCAGACATTATTCAAATATTTATAAAAACCGATAAGTATATAATGATATACTTTTAATCACATCTTTTCATCACTGGACATGAGAGTAAGGAAACGCTGGATAGTCTATTTTCCAGCATTAACTGTTTGTTTGTTAATTTGTTTGTTTGTTGTTTAACGCCGCACTCAGCAATATTCCAGCTATACGACGGCAGTCTGTAAATAATCGAGTCTCGATCAGACAATCCAGTGATTTACAACATGAACATCGATCCACGCACTTTGGATCGATGACATGCATCAACTAAGTCTGCGTTTACTGGAAAAATACGTCTGTCATATACATTTCAAAGTATGGCCACTATAAGAAACTGGGAATCATCCTAAATTTGTCCTGTAGTGCAATGTTTAAACAATATTTCATTCCTTGGTATACTGTAAGCCCCAACCCTTCTCAGTTTGAGTTGGGCAAGCTTCGCATCTGAAGTTTCATGAGACAGTCCGATATTTATGTACAATTTCTGAACATATATATCACTCTGGTTCGTAAAGAACCTTATCTTGTAGCTTTGAAGCTTTGAAGAAAACGGGAAAGGAATACCATTCAGAAACAAAGGTATCCTTTAGTCTCTGTGGGAACTGCATAAAAAAATATGTTTATAGATATGACCAGAGAGCTTCGAATAGTTATATCTCCTGTTCGAAAATGTTCTTAAAATATGCATACTTTTTTATCTTAGAAACGTTGTATTAATAACTTTATTCCAGTCAGATATTAACGAATACTTTAGTCTCTGTGAGAATGGCATCAAAAGAATATCTACATTTTCTACCCCTCGATTTACCCAGGCATACATGAATCCATGATTACATAAAAGCTTTCTAACAGTAGTTAACATGAACATGTCAGAGTGAGTGTGATTTGAACAGTATTGCATTTTTGCCACAATATGTCAACTAAATTAATGTGGAAGGAAAGCCTACAATATCGTGTAAACGACGAACACAGGGTTCAATATGTTTATGTTTGGTTGTTTGTTTGCTTGTTTGTTGTTTAACGCCGTGCTCAGCAGTATTCCAGCTAAATGACGACGATCGGTAAATAATCGAGTCAGAAATTTCAAAGATTGATAACATGAGCATCGATCTATTGGGATACGATGATATGAATCACCCAAGAGCGAGTCTGACCCAGTTCCGATCCGATCCAGTTAGTCGCCTCATGCGACCAGCATGCGTACCTGAAAACAAATTCTAACCCGGATCTTCACGGGGCGAAATGGCGAAATGATTTTAATAGCAAACATGCGTGTTCATGGAATAATTATATCATTAACACATGTTGATGTTAATGAATGATATTATAACAAATAATGTTTTTGCATGACTGTTGTTTAAATATTGTTTAGACCATATTGTTTGTGGAGGTAAACATGGAGTTATGGTCACAGTGATTAAGCATCAACACCCAAGTATTATGAAAATATGTATGCGTGCAATAAGTCCATTACTTACGGAGTCTGTAATACGACATAATTTCACAACAGCCTTGTACTAGACACCGTTGTGAAATTATGTCGTATTACAGACTCTGGACATATTGCATACATATATAGTTTCATAATAACGGCCTTGTACTGGACACCGTTGTGAAATTATGTCGTATTACAGTCTCTGGACATATTGCATACATATATAGTTTCATAATAACGGCCTTGTACTGGACACCGTTGTCAAATTATGTCGTATTACAGTCTCTGGACATATTGCATAGTATTACATATATAGTTTCATAATAACGGCCTTGTACTGGACACCGTTGTCAAATTATGTCGTATTACAGTCTCTGGACATATTGCATACATATATAGTTTCATAATAACGGCCTTGTACTAGACACCGTTGTCAAATTATGTCGTATTACAGTCTCTGGACATATTGCATACATATATAGTTTCATAATAACGGCCTTGTACTAGACACCGTTGTCAAATTATGTCGTATTACAGTCTCTGGACATATGGCATACATATATAGTTTCATAATAACGGCCTTGTACTAGACACCGTTGTCAATTTATGTCGTATTACAGTCTCTGGACATATTGCATACATATATAGTTTCATAATAACGGCCTTGTACTAGACACCGTTGTCAAATTATGTCGTATTACAGTCTCTGGACATATTGCATACATATATAGTTTCATAATAACGGCCTTGTACTGGACACCGTTGTCAAATTATGTCGTATTACAGTCTCTGGACATATGGCATACATATATAGTTTCATAATAACGGCCTTGTACTAGACACCGTTGTCAAATTATGTCGTATTACAGTCTCTGGACATATTGCATACATATATAGTTTCATAATAACGGCCTTGGACTAGGAACAGTAAAAGGCGACTATGCTTGTCGTGAAAGGCGACTAACGGGATCAGGTGGTAAGGCTCGCTGACTTTATTAAATTGTATTTAATCAAAAGTTATAGGAAACAGAATACACGCTGAAATTCAAACTGTTTAAGAGGTAATGCTGTCACCGTGTCGTTGCATGACCTTGCCCTTGACATCATACCCATTCCATAGCTTGGCCACCCGTGAAGATTCCGGGGTAGAATAGGTCTTCAGCAACCCAAGCTTGCCGTAAAAGGCGACTAACGGGATCGGGTGGTCAGGTTCGCTGACTTGGTTGATACATGTCATCGATCCCAATTGCGTTGATCGGTGCTCATGATATTCATCACTGGATTGCCTGGTCCAGACTCGATTATTTACAGGTGAGGTGAAATGGGGTTTAACGTCGCGTCCAAGATTATTGCACTTATATAGCGACGTGCATGTACGTGTGTGTGTTTGTGTGGCTGCTTGTACTAGTCCGGACTGATGCCGATTGATAGTGCTAGCTCACTGAGATACTAAGCCGCAGTTTAACATGAATATCCCACTCAGACACAGTATACTGACTCCGAGCCGACCAGTCCTTGTTTTAGCCCCTTAATGCCGAGCGCCAGACAGGGTAACAACAAGTACCATCTTTTAACGTCTTTTGGTATGACGCGGCCGGGGATCGAACCCCGGACCTTCCGCTCTCCGGGCGGACGCTCTGCCACTAGACCACGGATGCGGTCCGATTAGTTACAGACCGCCGTCATATAGCTTGAATATTGCTGAGTGCGGCGTTAAACAACAAACCAACCAACGTAATTGTACAACAGAACACAAGACGCCCGTTACATCTTCGTTCCATAGACTTAAAACACACAATTATCTAGATGTCATGTCAAGACTAGTTCAGGTCGTATAAACTACTATAAACCTTTCATATACAGGGAAGCCAACGACAAATCTGTACTGGGTCGGTGGTCGTTACACCACCAAGTGGAGGTGGATAACTGGTTTGCGCATCCTTGGAAGTCTGTGGGCCCCGGGAGAGCCAAGATCGCCAACTGGAGGCTGTGTGCTGTTCGATGCTGGGAAGAACTACACCCTGTTCTCAGCCATCTGTGCAGAAAAACATTATGCACTGTGTTACTATGACCCCTAAGGCCGAAGGCTATACAATTGACGGAAATTAGTGTGACAGTTTGCACATTGTATATTTGATGACGAAGTCAATTACTTGGTGATTAAAGAATAATGGATGCAACAATTCCATCTGTTTTCTTGCTCTTTGTTATTATCTCTGAAGGCATTCAAAATGGGTTTATAGATAAGACAAGACAGCTAAAATAGATCAAAGAGGTCTTCCTCCAAGGTAACGCTATAACCTGTACATGGGGTTCTTTTCTTAATACATAATATTTTGGTTATGAACGTTAAGTGGATGTTTCAACCATATTCAAATCCCCATGTATCTAAGCCATAACCTCAGACTGGATTTGCTTATTCTCCAATAGTTTGATCTGAATAACTGTTAAATGACAAATCATAATACCTAGCTTTGGATAAAATAAGATTTATGGCTTTTGAACCCTTTTCCCATAGAGTAGAAGTAAAATTACAACGTATACATATGTATATCCATTTTAAGCAAAAAAACGGATGTCACGAATGTATAACAAATGTATATTACATCAATTATTTTCTGTAGATAATTCTTAGCAGAAGCGGGGCGGTCGGGTAGCCTAGTGGTTAAAGTTTTCGCTCGTCACGCCGAAGACCCGAGTTCGATTCCCGATATGGGTACAATGTGTGAAGCCCATTTCTGGTGTCCCCAGCCGTGATATTGCTGGAATATTGCTACAAGCGGCGTAAAACCATACTCACTAACTCACTCACTTAGTAGAAGCTAATGACACCGTATCATCAGCATAAAGCAATGCGAATAACGTCAGTTAGATATTTATGCGGTCATCAATGACCCAGTTAAATTGAAAATGAAGTATTGTTCAAGGTCATTTTCGTATATGATTTACTAGCATCTCGGTGCCCGTCTTGCTCGCCATTAATTGGTATGTTATAATGATATGCACACATGCTGAATAAAATATCTTCTCCGAGATATTTTACACCCTCTTCCTAGCAAGGTTTTACATTTTCTTCGTATTTTTACCTGTTTGTGATTTGTTGATTATATATTCACCAAAGGTGTTTTTAGCAGTTGTTCTTAAGAGATCATTGGTACTGTCAACAATATTATAAAACAATAACAAGAGGCAACTAACGGGATCGGGTGGTCAGGCTCGCTGACATGGTTGATACATGTCATCGATCCCAAGTTCGTGGATCGATGCTCATGATATCAATCCCTGGATTGTCTGGTCCATACTCGATTATGTACAGACCACCGGAATAGCTGGAATAATGCAGAGTTCGGCGTAAAACAACCAACCAACCAACTTCCTTGGATATATCCTTCAGCCAGAGGTGGTTCGATCCACTGGCAGCGTCATCCCAGAATACGTTAACAGATATTACTTGTAGCTACCCTGCCTGGCGTTCGTCATTATGGGAATAAATGAAGGACTAGCCGGCTTGGAGGTGAGGTGAGGTGAAATGGGGTTTAATGTCGCGTCCAAGATTATTGCACTTATATAGCGACGTGCATGTACGTGTGTGTGTTTGTGTGGCTGCTTGTACTAGTCCGGACTGATGCCGATTTATAGTGCTAGCTCACTGAGATACCATGCCGCAGTTTAACATGAATACCCCACTCAGACACAGTATACTGACTCCGAGCCGACCAGTCCTTGTTTTAGCCCCTTAATGCCGAGCGCCAGACAGGGTAACAACAAGTACCATCTTTTAACGTCTTTTGGTATGACGCGGCCAGGGATCGAACCCCTGAACTTCCGCTCTCCGGGCGGACGCTCTACCACTAGACCACGGAGGCGGTCTTAGTCGGCTTGGAGTCGGTATGAGTTGAGTGACCATGTTAATCTCTAGTATAGTGTCTGAGTTTGTTGGCACTATAAAACCGGTAGTATTCCGCTATACTACAAGCAGCCATACGCTATATAAGTTCAATAATCTTGAATACGGTGTCAAAACCCTTTTTCCCTCCCATTACCTATTGATAAATATATAAAAGACATATACTAGGAATAGAACATTGTCATGAAATTGAATTGATTTTGTCAGCAACCTTTGTACTCATAAACACATAACCCTCAACTTTTGCAAGAAACAATTCTGTTCAAGGTTTTGTTTGGAATTAATGATTAGTGCTTGAATAAAGCGATATGAGTTGGTCAATTAGGCCAGGGCTAATGCGTTGATAGAACCAATGACCTTTGTTGTAAAGACCCATTAACCTCAGGAACGGCCATCCAGGTAAACATTGTTTATTGACTTGGTAACTTCACCTTTGTTTTTATTTACTTTTACAAAAGAACACACAGTAAGCCATTTAGTATATAAGCACCGCGTACCAAGGCGTTCATAGCAGTTTAGATTCCTTTAGTTCGAATAGGTCCAACATGGTCGTGGTTGCTGTGCAATTGTTCTTGGTAGTCTTAATATCAGCAATCCAAGCCAAACTTTCATCAGGTCATTGGAAGGCAATGGATCCGAGATACGACACGTCATACCTGGACCTGATTAAAGAAGTGGTTAGTGTTAGTAGGGCGACGTGTGCGGCGAAAGGCCTCAGCAGCAACTTCACTGCTTTTGGTTACGTAAAGGACGAGCTACGTTGTCTTCTTCTGAACGTTGACTACTACGTGGAACACCCTTGGACGCCTCCACTTGGCACATCATTCTTTCTTAGAGACGAAGGTAATAATTTGTATATGTCGTTTTTTCATACCACTCACTATTGAATGAACGTATGTTTATCGCTGCAGTTTGCAATATATCAGAGATAAGATAATGGCTTGTAAGTCGAAACTAGAACAGATGTGATTGATGGCATGAACAACGACCGACGTCTTCTGTTATGAGGGGCGTTGGGGTAGTGGGGTGGTTAAAGTGTTCGCTCGTCACGCCGAAGACCTGGGTTCGATTCCCGACATGATGATGAACACTTTCTGCACTTGACTCCCGATGATGGTCCTCACAAACTTCTGGCCTTAGTATCAGAGTGGACCCGTGAAGATTCCGGGGTAGAATAGGTCTTCAGCAACCCATGCTTGCCGTAAAAGGCGACTATGCTTGTCGTAAAAGGCAACTAATGGGATCGGGTGGTCAGGCTCGCTGACTTGGTTGATGCATGGCCATCAATCCCAATTGCGTGGGTTGATGCTCATGATATCAATCACTGGATTGTCTGGCCCAGACTCGATTATGCGGCGTTAAACAACAAACCAACCAACCAAGTATCAGAGTGGCTACATGTCGTGTCATCAAATCTTATTATTCAGAAATAGATTGTTGAATGAGCAGTTTATTAGCCGATTATTTAATATTTAAGGACAAAATCAACATTAATTTTGTTAATAACAGCGACAAAACCCTTTTCCATATTCATCAAAACTCTCTGCCAAAAGCAGCGTTGATTGCACGACTCCGATTATATCACGAGCATGTTAATCACTCACAAATAGTGATGATACGAGGTGTTTGCAAAAAATGATGAGTGTATCCTGCCCGACCGGTGGCACCCGTCACAAACACATGCAAAGGCATGTCAATTGTTCATCCGAAAAAAACAAAGTCGTAGACCTGCTGGAATATTGCTCGACATAAAGGAAGGTTGACAAATGGAAAGTTGAAGTCATCCCAACTTGTGAAACAGACGAGGTGGGCTTACTGGCCTCCTTTATTTCTAGTTCAGGTGGGTATATCAGTGGAAGGGAATTGGCTATTTGATGGTTACTGAACCATGTCAGATCATCGATATACCTGAAGCATATGTTAAACTTCTTTGTCCAATCTACCTGTTTTTTTATTTTGCCCATCGGGATAGAAAGACGTATTAGTGTCTTTAGATATTTTATTCCGCTGCAATCGACGAGAAATACACAAATGGGCTTTGAGATTGAGATTGAGTTGTGATTGTGTTTTTTACCCATCATTACTTTGTTTTTCTTCGTGACTGGCATACGAAATCACAACGACATGCAATCCTCTCCATAATATTTTCACCAACACAAGGGAGATAACTAAAATACAATTATTACGGACTACCGCACAAAAGAAATAATCACACAAACTGTAAACAAATTAATGCTGGTCATTAGCATTCCTATTTATATGAATAAACAGATCTGAAAGAAGGGGTGTACAATTGGTGTCCAAGGGGATGCCTTCATCTTGCCTCAAAGTCTTAACCCCAACTTGTACATAGTGTCTTCTTATTAAACTTCGGATGGCATTTGCTTCTATTTTGACAAATTGTCATGAATCTCTGAAGATTGACGTTTTTTTGTTTCTTTGTTATTTAACGCCGCACTCAACAATATTCCAGCTATATGACGGCCGTCTGTAAAAAATCGAGTCTGGACCAGAAAATTCAATGATAAGTATCATGAGCATCGATCCATGCAATTGGGATACGATGACATGCACCAACCCTGTCAGCGAGCCTGATCTTCCGACCACGATTGTCGCCTCTTACGACAAGCATAGTCGTCTTTTACAGCAAGCATGGGATGCTGATCATGAAGACCTATTGTAACTTCACAGGTCAGATTGACGTGTAACTGTATCTATGGTGTCCATGGTTTAAGGAATGACGTTTTCCCTTGAGATTGTGATGTGTGACAATGGTGTACAAAGTTGGAAAATGAAATGTTTTGACAGAATTAAACTTTGCACTTATCTGAGAATGCAAAAAGTCAAGCAAATCCTTTCAATTTTTGAGAATCCACATGGTATCAATCTGTTAATACAAAGAAAGCCAGTCGTTAATTGTGTTAATGATTGTATATGGTTAATCGTTAAGACAGGGATGTGGTGATAGATAGATAGATAGATGGACGGATGGATGGATGGATGGATGGATAGATATTATTTCTCACATACACATGATGCTACGGTTTTCAAATCTACTTAGGTTCTACCCAACATGTAATTGCCTGTAATGTATATAAAATTTCAGATTTATCCAAAGCCAGAGACTAATCTTATGGTCTTTCCCTCCTACTGATCTCCGACAATTACTGAAATACGAGCTGTCTGAAAAATGAAAATAGTGCCAAAGTATTGGTAAGAGATTAACGTGTGACTTATTACAGATAACTTTTCATGTTCCATCTTCAAATACCGGTAATTTGTGAGTTGTAGTTGTCATGTGGTTCCATTAACTATCCTGCATAAGTACCGTGGTGTATGCTATTCTTGCAGATATCGACCCACACCCGTGTATATCCTGGTGTCCATTTTGCATGCCGATTGTAGAAACTCTGTTGACGTGGTCGCAATCTGTTGATGCTTGTCGCCCGGCCTACCTGATGGAATACTACGACCTCATCGAGTACAGATGCATCGTGATGCAGCTCCAGTATCTACGTGAGTGTTCCGAGCATCTGTGTGAATACGCGAGTAATTGATTTCAATCAATCTATGGACCCGTGAAGGTCCGGGGTAGAATAGGTCTTCAGCAAACTATGCTTGCCGTACAGGCGACTATGCTTGTCGTAAGAGGCACTCTTCGGGTGGTCAGGCTCGCTGACTTGGTTGATGCATGTCATCGATCCCAATTGCGTGGAGCGATGTTCATGATATCAATCACTGGATTATCTGGTCCAGACTCGATTATTTACAGACCGCCGTCATCTAGCTGGAATATTGCTGAGTACGGCGTTAAACAACAAACCAACCAACCAATCAATCTCTCTCTTAACATAGATCATATTTGACATATAGATGGCGCATATGCGAAGCTATATTGTATAAATGCTCAAGCTCTCATCATCTTCAGAGAGTATTCAACATCACGTTTCAATATGTAAAAGCACAATAAATAATTAATGACACACCTTTATTATTACTGTACATAAGAGTGATGAAACACTGGAGGGACCACTATTTTCAATATTTATACACTTCTGTCTTATACTTTTCAATTAATCACAAACTATAAGCATATGGAATTCGTCTCAAATTTGACCCATATTACAAAGTATAAACAGTATTTCATTATATATCTCTTGTTCCAAAATGGTTTTAAAATATGCATACTTTTGTAGCTCAGAAGCGTTGTAAATGACTGTTTACCAGTCCGAAATATAAAAATACTTGAGTCTCTGTGAGAATGGCATCAAAAGCATATCTACATTTTCTACCCTTGATTTACCCAGGCATGCACGAATCCATGATTACATAATAGCTTTCTAACTGTTGTTACTGCGAACATGTCAGAGTGAGCGAGTGATTTGAACAGTATTTCATTAATGTCACAATATGTGACCTTAAGCCAATGGTACACACTTTGGTGTAGTCAACGAACACAGAGTTGAAATAATATTAACAGGAAACTTGCGTGTTCGTTGAATTTATATCATTAACACGCGTCAATGTTAAAGAAAGATAATCATTAACATCAATGTCTCAATGAATGCTGTTTTCAGATTTTACTTTAACTGTTCATGATAACGAGATCTTAATACTTTCATTTATAGTGTAACAGGATAACTTATCTTAGACCCTTTTTCTCCGTAGTTTGTGGAGGTAAAACAAGATGATTAATTTTAACACCCAGAATCTGTTATAGTATTTTGTAACTTTATATGCATGCAATAACTCTATAACTGACAGAGACTGTAATAAAATAGAATTTTACAACGTCCTTGAACACTTCGTCCTTGAACAGAACATGAAACTGCTCATTGGCACACGAGTCTGCGAGATCACCCTGAATTAAACATATTTATTAAAATTCACTGTAAGCTTGTACCTCATGGACTGTGGAATATGTGTATTTTGTACAATATACCAACTAGACCTATGTAAGCACTTGTGAAGCTAGGAGCACTACCAATAACACCTGGACAGTGTTTAATGTGTGATGAGGAGTGCGATGACACAATAAAGCACCAACTGCTATGTTGTACAGCTTTAGCTGATGCAAGGAACACCCTCTATGAACATCTGTTTGACACTTTAAACCTCGAACAATACATGTGTATTGAGGACTGTGCAGATGACGAAGTAAAATGTGTGACATTACTAGGTGGTATAACCCCTATTGTAGAGGATATGAGACTTGATAGCTGGGCTGAAGTCATATCTTCTGTATCACGAGATATAACCTGCAATCAATGATCTATCTATAGACAGTATATCTCATACCAGGACCACGGCATGTAAATATTCAGTATTGTAAATTTCTCTGCATAATGTTCGTGTAAATATGCTGTGTTAACATGATTCCAAATGTATATCACTCTCCGAAATTAGCGGAGGAAATAAAGATCATTCATACATTCATTCACGACTAGAAACTCTTCTTATACAGGGAAGCCCACTTCAAGTCTGTACTGGGTCGGTGGCCATTACACCACCGAGTGGAAGTGGATTACTAATGACAATATTCTTGGAAGTCTGTGGGCCCCGGGAGAGCCAAGTTCGCCTACTGGAGGCTGCGTGCTGTTCGATGCTGGGAAGAACTACACCCTGTTCTCAGCCAACTGTGCAGAGAAGCATTATGCACTGTGTTACTATGGCACAGGGAGATAGACAGACCCTTTTATGTTTTCTGTTAAGCTGTTAAGTGTTTCCTTGTTTCCTTGAGGAAATGTAGCCAAACTAATTAAAGTCGAATCAATCATTCAGAGCCATCATCTGTTGTCGTGAAGAGTTAAAACGTTACAACCATAACCATTCAGAGCCTGACCATCTTGGGCCGGTCGGGTAGCCTAGTGGTTAAGGCGTTCGCTCGTCACGCCGAAGACCCGGGTTCGATTCCCGACATGGGTACTATATGTGAAGCCCATTTCTGGTGTCCCCCGCCGTGATAGTGCTGGAATATTGCTGAAAGCGGCGTAAAACCATACTCACTAACTCAACTAACCATCAAAAGTAGGTGTAGTGATCTATGTTATTTATTTCATTATTTATAAACATCCTTGATTGTTTTACCTGAACCATTTCAATATACATGCCAGTAGACCACGTGGTGAGGTGAGTTGAAATGGGGTTTAACGTCGCGTCCAAGATTATTGCACGTATATAGCGACATGCTCTACTGACCTGCATGATCAAGCAGGAACCTCGCGAGTCATGATAGGTGACAGTGTCAATCATTTCACTGTCAAATCATTTCAATATCATTGTTATCCATGTCCAGCAAAATCTGAAAATTGACGTTGGAATAGCTCACAAAATTATCTCGATTGGATATTTACAGAATCGTTGGCCTGGACTGAATGACATCACGCGACGTCATCATTTGCAGAAGAACTCGGTCTGTACGACTGGGGCAGTTAATGTCGGACCTTGGGGGTTATGGCCTTATAGCTACGCACGCTTGTTATTACAGTAAAACCATATGGAATGTTGTATAGCAGCAACGTATGTAACTGGTGTCATCAAGGTAAATTGCCAGGCCGTTATCGGTTCACCGTCACTTGTAGATAGATTAATATGGATATGTGAGGTGAGGTGAAATTGGGTTTAACGTCACGTCCAAGATTACTGCACTTATATAGCGACGTGCATGTACGTGTGTGTGTTTGTGTGGCTGCTTGTACTAGTCCGGACTGATGCCGATTTATAGTGCTAGCTCACTGAGATACCATGCCGCAGTTTAACATGAATACCCCACTCAGACACAGCATAATGACTCCGAGCCGACCAGTCCTTGTTTTAGCCCCTTAATGCCGAGCGCCAGACAGGGTAACAACAAGTACCATCTTTTAACGTCTTTTGGTATGACGCGGCCGGGGTTGGAACCCCGGACCTTCCGCTCCCCAGGCGGACGCTCTACCACTAGACCACGGAGGCGGTCACGTACATGGAGTTCGATTCATCGCTGCCTTGAACAGTACGGGTTTCAGAGATGTTTAACACATGCAACTAACACTACGGAATCACAGTCTGAGTTTAATGGTTTACCTTGCCTTGGCTCGATAATTCACAGGTCGTTATATACTGTGGCGCTAAACATCACTCACTCACTCATCTCAAATTAAGTGGAATATTTTAATATACTGAATATGGATATTTACAAAGGCTGTCATTATCACCTGTTTCTTTTGTGTAGAGCCAGAGAGGGTACGTCAGACCACGTCATTCGAAGTAATTTTTTTCCACCACAATTTTAATCGTAGGATATGTGTTCGTTTAATCTGGCTAAAATTGTCAATAATCGCCGCCAACAGCTGAGGGGATGATGTAAATCCGGCTGGGGTCCATGCAGGTAGCAAAAGTACCGTACATCTAAGTCCCCATGGACCCTAGCATGGTGATCTACCTTCAGCTGCTGGCGATCTATAGCCTTTTTTATATTGTACCGTTATTTATAGTGATATCTTTTTATAGTTGTATGCTAGTTTTAAATATTAATCTGTGATATTCTAGTAATTTTACTGTCCATCGATGACAAGTTTTAATTTAGTTAAAATATATATATTAAAAATGTATAATTTCTCGTCACGATATGGCTGAAATATTGCCGATGTGACGTAAAGCATAAACTCACTCACTCACTCACTTTTGTGTACAGTGACCAGGTCACAAAGTATTTGGGTTTAGCAACGTTGGTCACGCAGATACGTTGCATTAGTTACCGCGTTCGGCAGCTTCAAGGCTTCGGTCCTGACCCTTACTGAAGCACTAACCACACGTGGTGTCTCCTTAGGCAAGTGACCTAATTCGGAATATGCCTTTGTTCACCCAGGAATAATTAAATTTTCGTTGTGATCATGGAGATTCCTGCATTCTGGTTAGCTGAATTGGTCACGTGTTATTGCATTCATTTCCCAATGAATGTAAAAAAATTAAGCCACGCCCACCGAGGCGCACTTCTTTTATTACTTCGGAATGTCGGGGAATCCAAATATTACAGCCGAGGGATCCCTTTCTGCTCACGTGTATCGTCATGCACAGGACATTTAGCGACTTTCATGCATATTCATTGTCAAAACAAACCTTTGAAACCGAAGGCCGAGAATGAATGAAACAGCAAACGTGCAGGCTCGCTCGCCTGTTTTTTTTCTGCTCGCCTCGGTTCAACTTTCATGTCTTCGGGTTTCCTTTCTAACTAGCATTTTTCCAACTGTGTTTTACTGTAATCAGGGAGGTAATGTTTTAATCTGGCGGTAACTGACCATGTAATTTGAAACAGCCGCCTTCTCTCGGACATATTTCTTCCAGTTCGTTACAGTCTGACTGTTGCAGTTCTTTTCGCCACTTGTCTTAACTGACAGGTCCAATGAACATTGTTTTGATCCTGCTCTCCGTTGATTGGTTACTGACAGTGTAGGCGTGTCAATTTATGTGCATAAATTAAACAATCACCTGATTCATGTCACGCCACAGTATGTATTCCTACACCTGGAATGTTTATCAATCTCGCCATTTTTGTCTGTTTTGATATATACAACTGTTTTTGGTTAAACTATTGTAGATAAAACATGTTTTATGCTGTCGAATTTAATTATAAGGATTGACTGTGTATTTTTTTAGGTTCATTGAGGTGTGAATCGAAAAACCAATGTGCAAACTTTTGTAAGAATCCGCTACGCGGTAGCCGGTAGGATGTAACTGCTAACCTCATTGCTCCTCACGAGCAGATTGGGTTGTATAGTATACTTACTAGGAAGCTGGGAATGAAATCGAGTGCACACTGGTCTGTTAACCGTGATAATGGTAGGTCGATTTATGGTGTGGACTTGGCGTAAATACAATATGCATATCATCATCATCATCATCATCATCATCATCATCATCATCATTATTATTATCGTTATGTTGTTTCATTGTTTTCTGTATGTTTCAACGAAGAGCACATAGAAAACACCTAGAAATCCCTAGAGGAGATATTCTGACTTCATTTCATTAAATTCGTCGATCGTTTTCAACATACAACTGAAAAAGATTAATTATGAAATGTTTGGTGGTTGTTTAACGCTGCACTAAACAATATTCCAGCTATATGACGCCAGTCTATTAATAATTGAATCTGAACCAGTAACAAATAGTGATTGATATTATGAGCAACCCAAATATCCGTCGGGGTGATCAGTTTTGTTGACTTAATGGACAGCGCGTCCTGATCACCTGATCCTCTTCGATGCCAGTAACGACAAGCATGGATTACTCAGAACTAATTTTAACCTAGAATCCAATGCATTTCTATCAATGAATTGTGCCAATTCCTTTACTGGAACCACTTGAAGTTGCGCAACAGAAAATGTTACAGCGGTCGATATTTCAACCACGTGAGTGCCTTCTTGTAGAACCGTACTCAAAGCTCCATCGGGGGACACGGGTGGCCTAGTCGTCTAAGGCGCTGCAATTTGCTGTGCAGAGTTGCGCCCCTTCGGACGGGCCAGAAAATTGTGGGTTTGAATCCCGGTTGGCCCCGATTATGTTTCTAGGTTTGTCAGCACCATACCCAGGCTCGTTGGAAACGACCAAACATTTCCATAGCAACAAGAAATTTCTGCTAAAGCAGAGTCCATTGTTTATCAATCACTATCAAAATGGTGTTCTTGCCTAATAATGCTATTATTATCCCTATTCCAAAGCCTGGACGGGATCATACAGATCCATCCAACCGCCCAATATCATCAACCAGCTGTGTTTGTAAAACCATGGAGCGAATGGTCAACAATCGATTAGTCTGGTACCAGGAGACCAATAACCTACTGAGTGACATCCAGTGTGGTTTCCGAAAAACCAGAAGTACCATTGACAATTTGGTGCGTTTAGAATCATTTATTGAAAATTCCATTGTCAACAAACAACATACTGTATCAATCTTTTTCGACCCAGAGAAGGCATATGATACAACGTGGAAACATGGTATTTTAAAAGATTTGCATGAATTTGGAATGAGGGGCAGATTACCTCAGTTCATATCTCAATTTTTTAACAACAGGCAATTTCAAGTACGAGTGGGCTCTACCCTGTCAGATCATTTCGATCAGGATCAGGGCGTCCCTCAAGGCAGCATACTATCAGTCACCCTTTTCAGCATCAAAATTAATAGTCTCACTAAAGTATTAACTAATAGCGTTGATGGTTCACTTTTTGTGGACGATTTGAACATTTCTTGTCGTGGTAAGAATATGAATACAATAGAAAGACAGCTACAGCTCTGTCTTAACAAAATTCAAAAATGGGCGAACGAAGACGGCTTCAAATTCCCCAAATCGAAAACAAACTGTATCCACTTTTGTCGTAAATACAAACCTGACAAGGATCCCGATTTAGTTTTCCTAGGTACTCCTATCAAGGTAGCAGAGGAGGTCAAATTCATGGGCCTCATATTTGACCGTCATCTCATATTCTTACCACACATCAAATATCTCAAGGCAAAGTGCCTGAAGGCTCACAACTTGTTAAACGTCGTTTCCAATTCCGAGTGGGGAGGGGATCAGACCACCCTCCTTCACTTTACAAACCGTTAATACGCTCCAAACTAGACTGTGGTTCCATTGTCTATGGTGGAGCCTGCAAAAGCAATTTAGAAAAAAATGGACACTGTACACCATCAGGGCCTAAGGCTCTGTCTTGGGGCTTTCAGGACCTCTCCCGTGGACAGTTTGTATGTGGAGGTCTATGAACCTTC